CTCTCTTTCTCTCTCTCTCTCTCTCTCTCTCTCTCTCTCTCTCTCTCTCTCTCTCTCTCTCTGCCGTGCCATCATCAAGTGTCTCGCAATGCAAGGGCACGAAAAAGCAGGCTAGAATACCAGTGGAGTTTATGGTCCAGCATTCTATGGCTTAGAGCTTAACCTAGGGGCCTGAACAATAAAGTTCTGGGATGTGGGATGCTATGAATACAATGGGGACTATATCGAAACGCTTTACACAGCTTCTTCAACACGATTCTTGGGACCATCGTAGATCAAATCCCCAAGTCTTTGACGCAACTTGCTGTTTCGAAAAACTGCTGCACAAAGAAGGTGACGGCCCGTCACACATCAGCATGTTGTTTTTCTCCGATGTATGCAACCATGGCAGTTAAACACAATCTGCACACCTGAAAAAAAAGGTACCGCCGTTTACAAAAGGCCTCGTAATTATAACGGTGAAGGGATTGGGACACAGAGTTTACCAGCTACCGGCACCCAAACCCCAGACCCCAAAAGCCACCCTAGCCGAAAACCCTTATACTACTACCATCCTCAGGAAGCAAGCGGGCAGTACAATATAGGGCATGGAATTAAGGGTTTCTTGCACAGCCATCGCACTAGAAAGCATCAGCTACAGCAAAAACTTTAATCCTCAAGGAGAAACTGTGAAAAGAGGATGAAGATACCTGAACCGATTTAGGCTGTATTTATCTGAAAACCCACAACATGGGTCCCTCGCAGCATATGTAGCCTTTTTGAAACTGGAACTGACCCAAATGGACTGTGTGGGTTGGCAAGCTCCGAACGGTTTAGGGTTTAGGGTTTCGGGTTCCAGGCATTCACCAAAAAGCTGTCAGTCAAAGACCAGGTGAACCTAGGACAAAAAAGCCTACATGATTGGAACAAGTTTTTGGAGTGGTTGTTCGTATTAGCCAGGCCCTGACATTACGATTGACCTCATCCGAGTCCCCTGCGCGTGTTCTGTAGCCTCGCAGTAATCGGATGAGGAAATAGCCATGTCCTGGGTACGCATGAGCTGTTGGGGTTTGAGGGCTCGGAGGTAGGACTCTCACATCGCGCTTCGGGGTATGAAGCAAGCTTTAATAAGGACCCCTGGGTATATACCCTTCATATAGCTATTATATACTCATTATATAGCCCGTTATAGGGTAGGGGTCCCCATTAAGGGTCCCTCCTTTTCCCCTTGGGGCGGTTGGGTTCAAAGCTCTTTGGGCTGCGGTTAGAAAAAGCAGTTCTCAAGTCCACGGTTCTACGGTCCTAAACCCTGAGCCACTAGCTCTAAGGCCAAAACCCTGGGGCTTATAAGGTCTTAGACGTAGGCTCTGTGCCGAATCAGGTCAGGGCTCCATGTGCCTCTATAGACTGTATAGTATATGTTGGGCTCGCAAGTAGCTATATACGAACCGCTTTTTTTGCCTGGATTCCTAAACCCCTAAGCCTTACGCCTAAACCAAACCCTGAACCCTATTTCCCGTAGCCCCTGAACACTAATCACTAAACCCTGCCTTACTTTCGGCCCTGGCTGCTTTTTCCGGCCGCCAGTCTTGCAAATGCTAACGCGCTAGCTACCCATGCCAGGTCACACTGTAGTGTCTTCTGCACTTCCCTTAACGCTTGTCTTGGTTTTGGTTTCGGATCATCTCGTCGAAAGGGAACTGCAAGTCGACCGAAAGGCATGATCAAAATTCCCGACATCATCACTCGGCGAAGGTGCCAGGTGCGAGCTGTGACACGGCACTGCATTTGGGGCTGTTTGCGAGCAGGTCTTCTGTCATAAAGGCTTAAAATAAGTCCAATGAGGATAAGGTTTGGGGTCACTTATACGAACATATTGCTTATATGGACTATAATAGGGGTATACTGTTGTTTTGCACGTTGTTGACAAACATATTGTGCAGGTGGTGTGACTGCGCCGGGCTCCTATGACTTTGACTACGAGCTGTCGACACAGAAGCGCCTGTGTATGCCCTGCGTCCCAGGGTAAAATAAAAGGAGGGACCCTTAATGAGGACCCCCGGGTATATACCCTTAATATAGCCATTGTATACCCATTATAGGGCAAGGGTCCCCATTAAGGGTCCCTCCTTATCCCCTAAACCCTAAACCCTCATAGATCCTTTTAAAGGGACCCTTATAGATCCCTTTAAACGGAACCCTAAGAGCCTAAGGGTCCCTCCTTTTCCCCTTTGACTGAAGCCTAACACCCAAGTTTTCGGCCCTTTGCTGGTGCTGTTTGCACGTTTCAGCACTTGGGGCTTAGGGTAGGGTGCACCGTACTTGGGGCCTGCAGGGGGTTCGAGGGTTGATGGCTTCAGGCTGAGTATTAGGAGGTTTCAGAATTTAGGTGACCCAAAAATCAAACCCAAAATCGCAGAGCAAGGACACCACAATAAGGTACTCCAGTTTTCTGGGAGTCCCATGTCTCTGCTCTAGGCTTATGGAATTGGCTCTTGCTCGCAAACGGCCGCTCGACTCAGTAGTGCAAAATATAACGTGTCACAAATCATCAAATTGAGCCCCTTCTGCGTCTTCTATCGAGATATAGCTACGCACTGGAGGAACAAATATGTCCGTCCGCAATTGTGGTTCAGTCGATAAATACCGAACCAGGAAGGAATGCAAATGCGCATGCATCTGCAAATCAGAAGGCTGGAGCGACCATGCTCACGATAATTGTTACCGCCGTCATGGTCATCACCAAAAGCATCAACTTTTCCCCTGGGGACAGCAAGAGCAAACGTTGAATCTCAGAAAGGCGAAGGCCAGTGGCACGGAATGGTCGGTTCCGGCGGAGGAGCCCGCACGACTAAACCGGTCTATGTAGCGAGTCTTCGCTCACGAGCAGGACAGGCTTGACAAGAAGATCATAAGTTGTAATAGGAACTCTATAAGACTTACCGTTCCTACTGTACCATAATTCTTCTTGGAGTTCCTGTTTTGATAGGAACCCTATTAAGTTTCGGCAGGCTCAAGAATTCCTGCAAGAAGGCGTGACGGACAAGGTCGACAGCAAAACGCGAGTGGTGGTTGTGCACTGGGTTTTAGTTTGGAGGCCCTTCGAAGTCTTTGTGAAGAGGTACCTCTATAGGGACCATAGAGGAATTTTCAAACTTTCCCACAGGGCCACCTGACAATCATCGTCGTGCTCAGCATCATCATCACCCTGGCAAAAAGCACACCCTTAAATGCCACAGCGTGGCAGCAAGATACGAACAAGCGCCGCTCTCATACCGAGGATGATTAGATGTCGGCCCTCAACCCATACAATAGAAGCCCGAAAAGTTGGAAACCCAATAGCCTCGATCCCCAAGAGTCATGTATAGGGAATCCCAGCACTATTTGTTTTTAATCCGGTTTCCAACTTTATGGGGTTTACTGTAAGTAGTTCCTACGATAGGAGTGGCAGAAGGGTCCCGCACGAGCCGGCCGAGATAACTCCATTCTGGAGTATCAAGGCTAGGCATCGCAAGCAGATCCAGGGAAACTTCGGCTGCAGATGCGCGGGATCCGCAATCGAATAGAGATTTGTTAGGATTTCGGATGGTTTCTACTCTAACCTTCTAGGTGCAATATGTAAAGTTCAGGGCTACTGGACTATAGCCCCTATGTGTCCACTGTGCACAGTTGTGCCCCCTTGGCGAAACTTCGACAGTACATTCAGAGTTGCCAAGGAAAACCCAAGTTGCTTCTCCCGCGTTAAAGAGAAGTATCTGCTTCCAACAACAGGCAGACAGAGAGAGGGAGGCATGGAGGGAGGTAGGGAGACAGAAAGGGATGTGACGAAGGTCATGGGTTCAGGAGTATTGTGGAGCCCTGATCAGGTTTTTTCGGGCTTCATGAATCGGAGTGATGGCGCTTTGAAGTAACCAAGGAGAAAACTGCACATTTCACGTCGTGATGCTTCTTCCTTTCAGAGTTTACTAAGCGGGGTAAAAAACTTCACCATGAAAAGCTGCAGCTGTGCTCTCTTGGGCTAGGACCCGCTAGGACCTTTTGCGATTCTTCAGTCGGGTATGGGCTTAGGGTTTAGGGCAGTGTAGGGCTTCGGGGCTTAGGGTTTAGGGTTGGGCTCGAAAACAACTGCATTGAGGCTTCCCTGGCTGCGAAAAACCGCAAACTACCAGATATGTCGTCGCCTCTCGTGGTAAGCCTACAGCTTCGCATGTGGAGGTTTAGGAGTCGGCTTCTCTAGGGCTTTGGGTAGAACCTTCGTCGCAAGAAACCTCACAAGCCTTCTAAGATGGATTATGGTCTTTCTGTTAATTGGGCGGCATGAACCCTAAGCCCTTTTTTGCCACTGGACTCAAGTCTAGCCAGTCTACGACCCACAATCGTCTTGACCGAGGACGACATGCAGCACCATGAACCCTATGCCCTCAACCCAAAACCCCCAAACCCTCATACTTGTGGATGGCCAGTAAAATTGACAATCAACTGAGGGCCCGGAAGGCCGTTAGCTCAACGATTCACAAACGGAGCGGCAAGCTTGAAGCTAGCTGAGTTGTCCTTTAAGCCCTTTGAAAATTATTTACTGTTATGGTTCTCTACAAAATAGTAGGGGAAATTAAAAAAGATCCCAAAGGACAACCCAGCCAGGTGTAGGGTTTCTGAGTTACTTCCAGGAAAAAGGGCTTAGGGTTTGGTCTGAGGATTGGGGCTTCAGCCTTCGGGCATAGCATTCCACACAGTTCACCAATGATACGGTTGATGATATAAATCCTGCATTACCCATAATAAGGAATATACCATAATTCCCATAGTTTAGGGCCCTTAAGGTAATGCAGGATTTATATCATCAACCGTAGGACGAGTAATAATAAGACTGTGGAGAGTACCTGCGTGTTTGTCCTTTTCCAGTGTGTTGTGTGCTTATGGGGCTTTCACACATGCTTCTGAACCCACAGTGCGCCCTTAATCCTAGGCCAACGCCCTGCATGCAGGGTCGAGTCGTGAAGGTCACCCTAAACCCTAAACCGTCATACCATGGAGACGACGGACTCATCCGGCACAGGACTCTCACCATGACTCTCGCCCATCGACTCCAACTCATTCTCCGGTGCATTTCCTGCAGACCAAAACATCGAAGCGGGGTTTAGGCCCTATAAGCCCTAAACTTTAGGGTTTACGGCTTAGGGCTACAAGTCCACCCTACAAGCAGTACAAAACCCAAAATGCGCTGCACAAGCAAATATCAGGCCCAAAAGGCCATAAACACCAAACTCGCACCGCAAAAGCCGTAGAAGCAGCCAGGCCGGAACCGAGACTTGGGGGCCTCAGGGTTATCAGGGTCCTCATTTAAGTGATTGAGTTTAAGTAGAAGCTGATAGGCATCTATAGTCAATAACAGGGTTTCTGAATTTTTATGAATAGCTTCGTTAAGGCCCTTCAAAAGAACCCCGACTTGGGGGTCTCAGGGTTGTTGAGACGTCCGCACCTAAACGACGGCATCTGAACTTCAAACGGCGCAGCCGAGGATTGCGTTGCTCCGACTTCTGGCGCTGAAAGGTTCCTGCCCTTCTGTCCTCATGTACCCTAAAGCCTAGAATCTACCTCGAAAGGCGGCTTGCGGTAACAACATGGTCGATAAACCTCCTCCTTTATGGCCGTGGTTGTGTGATCCTGGTCATGGTAAGTCTGCTTATGAAGAGAAGGAGGAAACCATCATCAGCCTAAACCCAAAGCCCACAGCACTATGAAAACCGAAGAACACTAACCTCCATTGCCTTGCAACTCCGTGAAGAGATTGTCAAACTGCTCGTCGACCATCCCTTGGCATTTCCTTGCCATGGCTTGGAGTCAAAGGTTCGGAGAAGCTGCAGTACGCCACTACGCTTCAAGATGCCGACCCTAAATCGTCTACTGTGAGGATAAGGCCAACCTCAGTATTAAGTAGGCCGCGACTTCTCAGTACCCTAACTCGGGCTATCCTAGTCTTACAGGGCTTATTGGGGTTTGTAGGCTTATAGAGCTTATGGGGTTTCGGCGCTCACAAATCATTCCCCTACATGCCGCTGGATAACACATAAACTGGCTGCAGCACGTCAGTGCTTATAGGGTTTAGGGTTCAGGGCGCATAGTCATGACCTCGCGTGTGATCTACTTGCAGAAGCCATTCCTGCCATTAGGGTTTGATGGGAGGCCGAAAGGGGGCTTTAAGATTCTTGGGGCAGGGATTCCTTAATATGAACCCTATTATGGGAACCCAAACCCCTACTAAACCCCCATAGGCTAAAGCACCTCTTGGCCTCCTATGAAGGTTTAGCTTGGAGGAGCTCAGAGCAGAGTTTTCCAACTGTAAAACGTCTTTCAAAGGGGAAAAGGAGGGACCCTTAATGGGGACCCCTACCCTATAATGGGCTATATAATGGGTATATAATGGCTATATTAAGGGTATATAACTAGGGGTCCTTATTAAGGGTCCCTCTTTTTACCCTTGGAGTCTTACGGCGCCTTAAACCTTGAGGCCGAAACCCTGAAACCTAAGCTGCGGCAGCACTGGAGTTTCTGTCGATATCTGATAAACGTTTGATCGAGGTGCAGGCCCGGAGATTTGGCATCATTGGGGTTAGGGGTGTAGGGTGTTGAGGGACACTATGCGTGTTTGGTTGGGGCTCGTGCTCCAGGGGTGTAGGGTCCATTTGCATCTTCGGATTCGAGTCTGGGGTCTTGCACTAGTAATAGTGGAGAGTATGTACTTCCACAGAATCCCAAACCCCCTAACCTCCTGAATCCTAAACTCTCAACGACATTGAAACCTCAAGCCCTACACCTTCATCTGTCAACCCCTGAGCCATAACACCCTAAAGCCCCAGGGCCCTTAACCCTTTTGCTGCAAGCCTGCATTCAAGTTAGCCACTCTTCCGCCCTTTTGCATCTATAGGCCTACTGCGACTCCCGGGCACCCTTGAAGAACAGAAACTGAGTCAGCCAGGCAAATCGGAAAACCCCAAACCCCTGAACAAAGCCGTGGACAAGCCCAAAGCTCGCTCATCATCAAAGCCCAGAGACTTCAGGGCATCAGCCAAATGACCCCGCAGAATTCGGTCGATCCTGTGGAAGCCTGCGTGCTTTTAGGGTCTGGGAACTTGGGGGGGGTTTAGGGTTTTAGGGGTTTTTGGCTTGGGGGTTTAGCCATGTAGTCGTCAAGGGTTTCTGGTGCTTGGTGGGGAATGGGGGAATGGATTATGGAGACTATTAGTGCTTAGTAGGAAAGGGGGAATGGATCCCTATAGTAGTCTCTATATAATCCCCAATAATGGGCTCCACAATACATTCCCCCATTCCCTACTAAGAACCAGAGAGTGAACCCGAAGTTCGTGCAACAGTGCTCAATATGCCGGCATGCAGGCTCTAAGCCTAAGCGCACCGATATGGGAGTTTCCGAGAATAGGGGACCCTAATATTTTCCCCTAGATAGTAGGATCCTTATTATACAGGAACCCGAAATAAGTCAGGTGCCTCACACGTATACATGGCCCTAAACCTTCAACCTTGCCCCGAACATCAGCCTCACCGAGCCAAAAGACTTTTCATGGTGTAAGTCAGTGTAAGTGTTGAGACGATGTCTCGGCAGAGTTGCATTGAATGATCTCATCATTAGCACATGCGCTATTCAAGTCTGAGGGGTGGTGAATCCTAGCAGTTATCGACTATCGACCAAATTTATGTCAGCCGGCACTGCGCAATGTCACCTGCTACTACTGATAAGCGGTTCGGCTGCCCATGCCCACGAGCGAGTAAATTACAGCAGTAACATCTGTTCACGAAGTCGGCTGCTCCATAGAACTACGACATCACTATATGTTCTCCGGCCCCGTCAACCTAGGCGATTACGAAGACACATGGAGTTTCCGAAACTAGAGGACCCTAATATAGTACCCTAAATAGTAGGATCCTTCTTCTAAGGATCCCTAAAATCAGGCACCCCTAATTTTCGGAAACTCCCACATCATGCCAAGAAGCTTCCCATCTCTTCGAGAACAAGCTTGTTGATCATATCCTTGTCATCCTCGCAGCCGGGGCGGAGTTACAAACTCCACGAGGATGTTTAGGGTTTAGGGTTTGGGGGCGATATTGACGCTTAAAAATAACATCCATGCAGACCTGAGTTTAGTATGGTGGAGCCTGTGGTGGGAGTTTGGGGTGTGTTGGGATTTAGGGCTTGGGGTAAGCATTTACGAGTCTTTCGAAGACCGGCGGGTAGGGAACTTAGCTTCTTCTGCACTGCAATGGAGGGGTTTAGGGTTTAGGGGTTTAGGGTTTAAGGGTTTAGAGTTTAGGGGTTTAGGGTTTAGGGTTTGAGGAGCCGGAAAAGGAATATGCAACCGAAAATAAGGCACCATGTCCAAAGCTTTGCAATCCCGAACCTCAAGCCCTCCCCTGATCTCCCCCCAGACTCCTCTTTCTATGGACCATGAAGCTCTCAAGCAGGTCTTCATATCACATGGTAGCATGTATATAAAGTATATACCACAAGATACCTCCATACCATTTACAAAAACACCTCACAACACAAAAGAAGCTCCCAGAGCTATCCTGCGAGGTGGCCGTGGCGCTTTGAAGACCTCATTCCGGAAGCATCGAAACAGAAGGGGTTTAACCGTTTCGGGGTTTTTGTAACTTAGAATTCCACATGGGCTCTACAGACCTTCATAAGTATATGAAATACGTGTTTGGTTTGTGTGTGCGTGCTTACCGTCTGTAGTGAGTAGCCGCTGATGCTGGTGTTGAAGAAGGAGGAAGAAACGCTGCGTTTGGCCAGGAGCACATTTTCGGCTAGGGCTAAGGTTCCCAGATGTTCTCAAACTACATTGTCATGCCGTTGCCTTTAACTCCAAAACAACTACCATAAGACCTCGTAAAACAGCTGATGCTTCACAGTGTCGTTCAAGTCGCGTCCCACTCCGTGAAACTGCCCAACATGTCTTGACCTACACTGACACTCCAAGACGGCGGCTGAGGCCAGCGATGCGCTTGCCAATGTTCATCGCGAGCTCCACTGTCGCATCGCCGTTGTTCCTTTCATGGTGAAAGTTTCGGAAGCGGGCCAAGCTCACAGAAGGCTGGTGCCTGCTTTCGTGACAAAGACCATGCGATTGCACGTGCGCTCGTATGCAAGCTTGATGGTACCAATAAAGAAGCAATCCAGGCCATGAGCCCTAATCAAGACCCTAAACCCCTACACCCCTAAAACCCCTAAGTCCCCAAACCCTAAGGCCCAAGCCCCTCTCTTTAAGCGAAGGCTCAGGACACCCGTCGGCGTGCAGAAGTAGAGGCCAGTGAAGTTCGCCTGGGTCTTCTCGAGCCTTCAGAATAGGGTTTATGGTTTGGGGCTTAGGGTTTGGGGTTCAGGGTTTTAGGGTTTAGAAATGGTTTCGGGATTCCGGTGGCTACAGGCCACAGGGCCTCAGGTACTAGTTTTAATAAGGTTTTGGTGCATAGTCTAGTATCCTGAACTCGCAAAAAGCTGCACGCAACATAAATCTAAACAAGTTTCCGAATCATAGTATCATTGCGAGGGGGCAGTCAGGGATATTATTACCAAGAAGCTCCGTGATACAGATTGAAAAAAGGGGTTTGCTGTGACAGAAAACTTCCTCTCTCGAGGTATGGTTGTGTTGGCTGCTTGACTCCAGGCGAGTTCCCAGAAATCGTGAACACATGCTTGTCTACGTTGCCTTTAGCACGGCATGCTGTGTAAAGCACCGCTGCTGCTGCGAGCCATGCTCAAGACAACAGAAACAATGAAAGTTCAGATCCCGGCTGGCTTTGAGGCCGAGGCTTGAAGTTGTAAGGTTTAATTATACCCATAGGCTCCAGAGTAGTTCCTTTTTGGGATTCCCTTATAGGATGTTATATATAACCCCAAAAAGGAACTACTTTGGAGCCTCTAGGTAGGGCTTAGGTGTAAGATGGCAAACTGGAACTCCGCCTGACCTCTGCCTCATGGATCACACAAAACACAAACATATCAACTCATGTGCGGAACTCCAAGCCCTGTACCCTAAACCAGCTACCCGGCAGCTACCCTAAATCCGAATAGGGATCCCATCCAAAAGACACACAACTGGTCACCGAGGTGACGCTTCCTAGTGTTGGGCGTAGGCTTACCCGAGGTTTAGGGCTTGCTTGTCCGCCTCTTTTCTACTATAGACTCTTGGAAGCCCAAGAACCTGAGACAAAGAAGCGACAGACTTTTTTGACACCCTCCCTCCCTTGAAGGGTTTCGGTGCTCACACTCGGACACTCCAGGCGAGGCATATGGTCGTAAGGCGGGTTCGGGAGTGAAACTAAGAACTAAGGAAACTGTGATGATGAGTAGCTTCCTCCCTGGGTTTCTCGGTTTTGGGTTTAGGCTGCTAATTGCCGCCCTTCCACCATCATTTAAGGCAAGAGGCGTGACCGTCTGTAGCAGCTCAAAGAGGCACCAGGATCTATTCAGCAACGACGCGCGCCTGGGAGAGTTAGGGAGGCACATGGAGTTTGAGTTCCTGGAACCCTGAAACCTAAACACCCTGAAAACGAAAGGCTGGACCTCCACACAAGACCCTGAAACTAACCTAAAACCCCCGATGAAACCCACTAAGGCCAAGTACTTCTCATCCCGGACGTTCAAGCCTCCTAAACCTACCTTTGGTTAGTAGGGAATGGAAGAATGGTAGTAATAGTAATTAGATCGGTACCCCTTCCTCCATTCCCTACTAACCCCTAGGTAAGTAAAGTACCAAAGTCTGACTCGAACACCTCAAGTCCCCGATGGACCTAGGCCGATGCACCAAAACGGGAGTTTCCGAAAATCAGGGACCCTAATATAGTACCCTAAATAGTAGGATCCTGATTATAAGCGCCCCAAAATAAGGTACCCGCTATTTTTCGGAAACTCTCAACCCTGAACACTTTGAAGCTCCCTTTAAAGGAACCCTTATAGTACCCTTATGGTAACCCTTTGAAGGCCCCAACACAAGGTACCCCCTAATTTTCGGAAACTCCCAAAACGACTCCAAGGAGCTCGTCCATGATCATGGCGGTTCCCTGGCACTTTCAACATTGATGGGAGCCCAAACGGGGGGGGGTTAGGGTTTTGTTCCCTCTCGCATGGCTGGCATCTACGTCCACAGGCGAGGATATTTGGGGACTGATCGATACTTGCAATACTCCCTTAGGGTTTAGGGTTTCATGGGAGGCCAAAACGGGGGGTTTAAGATTCTTGGGGTAGGGATTCCTATAAGGTCATCCCAACAAGGAACTACTATGGAGCCTATGAGTACAGGCTTCTTATAATGGGAGGCCAAAATTGGTTTAAGATTCTTGGGGTAGGGACGGTAGGGTTTCCTTACGTAATATGAACCCTATTATGGGAAACCTAATCCCTACTAGACCCCCATAGGCTGAAACCCCTTTTGGCCTCCTATGAAACATGGCCCCCAAACTCTAGCACCCCCTCAGGTAACAAATGGGCATTGTTAAAGGTTTGGGTCGCGTGGAATTGATGGTCAACCGCACCCCAACATGGAGGTCAGAAATAGAGTTTTGCGCTTTTTGGGTGCATCATAGTTGCGCTGTATTCATAAGATTGCAAGCAAACATCACTTTTGATTATCCAGGTCTCTACACTTTACTACAGATACTATAGATACTGTAAACCTTTAATGTGCGGAGCCCTAAACCCTGAATCTTAAACCCTGACCCCCAAACACCAAGACCTGGCGGCAGCGCTTGGGTCGTTGCTTTGTAGGTCTTGAGGGAAGGAGGAGTAAGGGCTTATGCTTTTGGAGATAGCCTTTCAGGGCTTCGGGCATTCGGTGGCTGTGGGTCGGGACATACTGTTTTGTTGTATTAGACTTTGGTACTGAGCCTGGGCTGGACTCTGTAGGCACTACATCCCGAAGGGGTCAGGTAAGGATTCGAGTGGTGGGCGCAATGCTTCTTCTTAAACCCTAAACTTCCCTAAACACTAACAGCCTAAAGCCTAAACCTGCGATGAAGCGTAAGCCCAACGCCTGTCGCCAAGTGAAGGATTTTTACGCTCCAAATCCGCGCGCAAACGCTGACTTGTATTTGTAACTCAGGGCCTTTCAGGCATTCAGACAAGACCATGCAGAAGCAGTACTGGTTTCTTCTAGGCAAAGAGCTGAAGCTCGCACGCTGCAAGCTGAAGGAAGGATACTAGCACTCCGGTCGGATGATCAGGAGCCACATGGACTTGTTCTTGACGATCGGTGCTGGAGGAGTTCTTGCATGAAGGGTCTCTCTGTTTAGGGTCTGTTTTGGACGCCCCGACGTTTTGTAATCTCGCGACCCCGAGATAGACCCACGGAGTTTTCTTCCTTGGGCTGAGGCAAACCTCGAGGAGGTATGACCTACACACTGATGAGAAAAGCAGCGATCACTCAAACACACAGAATGAATCTCAGTGGATCGTGTCACCACGGATACTCGAATGCCTGGATACTAACTCGCCACTTGTTTTCCATGCACGAAGACTCATGTACCTGTGCGCCTGCATGCTGGCTTGAAATGACAGCACATTTCTGGTCTCTGACCAGTTTCTTCTTCTCCTGGAACTCCGCAACTTGCTCGTGTAGGTGCAAGCAAAGGCCACGCCACACGCGAAGATCGGCCTCCGCGCGCGCAGCTCTCTCCTGGGCACTGCGCAGCCTTCCCTTTCAAACCTCGTCACTCACAGTGGAAGTTTCTCCTTCTTCTTCGTAGAATGCATCAGTAGTGATGCAAGGCAGACTGGAGCCTGAAGTAAGCAAACCTAAACCTAAACCCGTAAAAGATAGACCCCCGTATATAAGCGTCAAACCCAGAACCTGAAACCCTGAACCCTTAAACTTCAAACCATAGAGGACCTTAAATCTTAACCTCGGCACCGCCGAACCCTGAACCCTATCTGGCCTTGCACACGCCACTATGCAGGGCCAAGTAGAACGAGGAGTCTTTGTGGTAGGTGCCAAGCTCCTCCAGATCTGGTGCTCCAAACCCTACCCTAACCCTGAATAACGTAAATGTTTAGGGCTCCTTATTAAGATTTCCTGATATAAGTTCTTAAAAAAGTAGGTTATTCCGGGTTAAGGTAAACCCTAAAACTTAAACCGCTGGGGCTTCTTGAGCTTGGGCTGAGGGTGTTTTCGCCTCCCACCCACAGGGGAAGCAAAGAAACCCCTAAAAGGATGGTTGTCAAAATTATGGTCCTTTTTTGGATCCCTACTATAATACGGCACCTATTATTTAGGGTACCCAAAAAGGGACCCTAATTTTGATAACTAGGAGAGCCGCAGGGCTTAGGGCCTTTGGGTTTGAAGCTTCGGACTTCGGGAATCTCTCTTGGGTTAAGCTGCAGCTGTGGGATTTGGGAGTTTCCGAAAATAGGGGGCCCTAATATAGTACCCTAAGTAGTAGGATCCTTATTATTGTGAGGACCCCAAAATAAGGTACCCCTAATTTTCGGAAACTCCCATTTGGAGTTGCAGCCATCGTCCTCCTTGATGCGGTACTGGTTGTTGCTGAATGTGCATATCCAGTACGACACCAGCTTCCTCAGAAGGCCAAAAAGCTCCGCTATTAACCTTTTACTTACAGACCGAGAAGCTGCTTAGACCAACATGTTCGATATGCAACCCCGGCCTGCCTGCCAGTCCAGCAACAAGCGAGTTTGACAAAGGCGTGCGCTGAGCTCGCGTGTAGGGTTTGGTGTTTAGGGCTTCGATGACGAACTTCGTAGAGTCTGCTTGTTCTGGTATCCTCAGCCTTGCTTTCGTCAATACGAACGAGACTGGACACCAGCAGCGAACACATGAATCTCAAAAACTCCGGGCTGCACGGTTCAAGTGCAGCAGCAACCCCCTTATCATGAGGATCCTACTATTTAGTGTGCTATATCAGGGTCCCCTCTTTCGCCTAGAACTCTGAACGGCCCTAAACTCTAAACACTTATATACCAAGATCTCTGAAGTTCAGGCCGCGATGCCATGTGCTCTCATCCTCCGAGCCACTTATCTGCACGGCATGTCGCCGAACCTTACGGGTTTTCGACGCTCACACTCGCACTCTCGGCAAGCAAGGCTCCACATAGTCCAAAGTATCTCAACTAGTGTTCAGCAGCGACAGTGTGGGGAGACAGAAGCACAAAACAGCGGGAAGTAGCGGTTTCGGGGGTTTTGGGTTTCGGGTTACTGTGAAGCATTGAGGCCCAGAAAAGGGTGATGTTTCAGTATTTTGACTTAACCCTAAAGGGAACTCCAGAAAGTTGGAATATGGATTCAGGGTAGGATACCTTGTTAATTTACCATAAAGGGTTTAGGATAATCATATTCCAACTTTCTGGCTTTTACTTTAAAACTTGTGTAAGTACTGGAGGGCTCTGAGGGTTGAGAGCTTCAGGCACCCTAAGCCCCAAGGCCTTCGAACAAGTTTCACACACCAAACGCGGCATCTAATGCGTCCCCGTCTGTAGCTGAACTCAGCGATACGATACCTAGGACATGGGTGGGAGCAGTAGCACTGTCACCCTAGTAATAGTAATCGTCACTGTGGTGGTGGTGGTGGTGGTGGTGGTGGTGGTGGTGGTGGTGGTGGTGGTGGTGGTGGTGGTGGTGGTGGTGGTGGTGGTGGTGGTGGTGGTGGTGGTGGTGGTGGTGGTGGGGGTGGTGGTGGTGGTGGTGGGTGGTGGTGGTGGTGGTGGTGGTCGTCGCCGTAGTAATTAGTAGGAATGTGGCTTCTCCCTCTCCCCTAAACCTTCAACCCTGAACTCTGAGGCCAGAAAACCTTTAAACAACGCAGCCAACAACGAACAAAAACAACACTACACCTTAAACCCATAACCGCAGAATCCTAAATCCTGACCAACCAACTCAAGTCAGGATGCCGACTCGCAGAAGCGGACGAAAGGTGTGCCCCACCAATGACTAATGAAGAACTGCACCTGCAAAGAGTTTGTGGCCCTGTCACTGTAGGCTGTAGGGTAGGTTGAGGGTTTCGGCTGCAGGTTTAGGAGCTAGTTGATCTATATAGGGTAGGGTAGGGCATAAGATTGTTTTGCCTCCTGCTTCGCACGGCAAGACCAGGCCGCTGCATGGCAGGGCCGACAAATCGGTACAGCTTTATCCGTGGTTCAGGGTTCAGGGTTGAGGCTGTGGGCTTCGGATCTATAAGCTAGATACTGTTGATGATACAATCCTGCATTACTTTGAGGACCCCAAACTATGGGAATGATGGTATATTCCCGATTCTGGATAATGCAGGATCTATATCATCAACCAAATGGTAATCAATTGGGAGGTCTGGCCTCTAGAGCCTTGCAACGAAGCTTGTGGCTTAGGCTTCGCAGCAGATGGGAGGCAGTCATGGCCCTCTCTTAAGTTTCGCAGTTCTCAGGTGTTCCAAGGCCCCGAAGCTTCAAACCCCGAGAGCTACTGGTCGAATTGCAACGCCCTGCAGCTATGAAGCCCCACCCCTGCGAACCAACACCATAGGTTTCTGTGGCTTCGTGTTTGTTTTTGCCGTTCACACTCGGCAATACCGGGCGAGGTCTTCTGTTAAAGGATGGCGCATGATCGGAGGGATCACCCCGAAGCACCAGAAAGCCTGCCCACCCCCCAAAACGAAACAAACTATGGGCCTGCTGCGGCCCCACGCGCTCGGCAAAGCTCAGCTTGTGCTTCCGCGTGATTGGCCGAACCTGGGCTTAGAGACTGGGTATGGGTTGGGGCTTCGACTCTCTCGCACTCGCACGCGGCAGGCGGGTTGTGGTTCGGGTTTGGCGCTGAGGACCCTGGCCGCTGGCACCAGAAAAGTCAACCTTACAATTTTTCAGTATAACAGTGTAGTAGGATGATGACCTGCTCAAGGTGAATCTTCAGACAGGAATCCTGCTTCAGAGACACGATTTTAGGACACAGTGGCTGCAACACATTTTTGTGTATACCTGTATATATACGTATACAAACATACACACACACATATATATATATATACACACACGCATACATAGACTATCTGTATGTATGTATGTGTATATATATATATAACATATGTACATACATTCATTCATATTCCCTCCCGGATGGCAAGGACAAACCCTCCCTTTTTGGGATTTAGCTGGCCTTGCTTTCAGCTTTTGGGGATCAGGCTTCCTGGTCGGTCAGCGCCGAAACCCCAACCTATTACAACCCAAAAGCCCAAAGGCCTTGTAACCCAAAAACCTAGCCCTCAAAGCCCAAAGCCCTCACCAAGCTCTCAAACCTGGTCCGGTGGTTCTCAGCCCTTCAGAGAGAGCTTGAGGGGCCATAGCGGGACCAACTAAATACGAGTTGGCCATTGAATCGTCAGCAAGATTCTCTTCGGCCCAATAAGGAAGAACAGCCAATGTCCTAAAGGCCTACCTAGGTTACATTGATGTGGAAGGCCTGCTTGAAGGTCTTTGAACAGCCACAGGACAAGTTCAATTCAAATCAAGTACGTCGCACATACTGGTTCCCTCTCACCACTACTTCACCGCAAAAGAAGCCAAGCTCTATACCAGAGTCACCATGGTACCTACACCTGTAGCTATCAGCTGATTATACCCGGCCCCGAACCCTCAACCCTCAATCCTCGAACCCCAGATATCAATCCAGATCCCTGACTGTTGCCAGCGGGAGGCCAGGTTCGGATCGATGTAGTACATGGTCCGGAACTTGATGAAAGCCTTACGTAACATTGGGTTTAGGGCTTGAATTCTAGGGTCTCGGGTTTGGCTCTGGCAAAGAGTTTCCTCCTACGCAGCCTGAACCGTAAGGGTTTCATAAGAGTTGTAATTTTATGAGGGCCACTGTAAGGGCACTACAACAGGGACAAGCTTCAAGCTCCCAACTCATGTTGCAAGTGGGCTCTTGCATCTCTGGCCGAAACGTCCTCACAAAATGCAGCTGCCCAGGTGCTTGGAAGAACTCGAACAGCTCAAAGAGGCGAAAAGCCTTGTCATTGGTGGGCATTTCAGCAGGCACGTGACATACTAAATTCAGTAAACTATGGTAGTATGATTAAGACACGAACCACACGATCAAGGACCCTTAATTTCAATCTAAAAAGTCGCATGTGCAAGGTCTGTAACCCGAAACTTTGGACACTAGCTTGGAAACGATACTACTCCAGGCTACAACCTGATGTTGTCACTGCATCACTATTTTCTCAGACGCCGTAGACGCTCCCTTGCCAGTTAGGGGGCAGTTCAAGGTGAAGTTCACTTCTCACAGGCTTAGACAGGCTTGCTCTATAATAAGCATTGGAGCTAGGGTTGAGGGATGACACTGCGCACGGATAACTGTCCAAGTAAATTACGGCATGTAGTCACGAGTGAACGCAGTGAACCATATGCAAAGTTGTACTATACGAGTAGTGACTGCACTCCTTGGCGACCGTTAAGAAAGCGACAATCGTTAGAAAAAGACATCGTCTCATTTCCGGGACAAAGTGCGAGAGTTTAGTTCGAGCACACTATACTCCGGAACCAGTATATCATTCCGTGCGGAGAACCTACCCAGCATTTTCAGAGCAGATCGGCACAGCCCATGACGGAGGAGGAGTTTAGGGTCTACTTAAAGGGTCATGGGACTTAGTAGCTAGGGTTATAATTAGGGTAACTATACTTATAATTACTTATAACCCCAATTAAGGTACTTATAACCTTACTTACTAAGTCCCATTATAGAACCCTTGTAGATCCCTTTAAGGACCCCTCTTATAGAGTCAGGAAACCGACTTAACTCAAGCGTTTTCAAAGCGAAAACCTTGCTCCGGTCCTGGGGATCTCCTGGCCCGAAGCCCAAGATCCCCAAGTCCCTTCCCCAATACACTAGGGACTAGGGTTTAGGGATTAGGGTTTAGGGTTTAGGGATTAGGGTTTAGGGATCAGGGTTTAGGTTTTAGGGATTATAGGGTTTAGGGATTATAGAGTTTAGGGTTTAGGGTTTAGGGATTAGGGTTTAGGGATTTTTCCCACCCCCTGGGCTAGGGATTAGGGTTTAGGGTTCAGAGTATGGACACACTACATGTCGAAATCATTAGTGGGAAGATTGAAAGAGAAGCGAACTCTTCAAGTTTGCAGGCTGGGTGTTCCAGCAATAAACAACAATCGACACTAATTATGGGCGACTCACACGACCCCTCAGTCCAGGGTGCGGTCACAGCCCGACTGGCGCCGCGATCACAGGGCTGCGGGCGCGGGTTTTGACTGTCGATCATCGCAACTGGCAGTGCGAAGGAATGCAAGAAACAATTGCATACATATGCTACACTCCGTTGTAGTGGGCCACGGGATGTCGATTCTGAAGAGTGTCAGGAAACACGACCCGTAAAACACCGCTCGCAGTGGCCGGAACAGTTCGCATGAGCAGCGGTGTGCATGTATAAGACCTTCGTAGCTGACATGGCTTGTAGCTGCAGCAATTCACCAATTCTATCTAGACTGCTACAGCATGGAACAAAAGATGAAATCTGGCACCAGTCGTTCTGAAATCCTTTGACTGCTGGGCTCAAGACTAGCCCGTCCAATGAACCTCAAATCCGAACCACTACGGGCGACACCGTATCCCCTAGAATCCTACCTATAGTCTCCATTGTAGTTCCTTTTTTTAGTTAACCAGATTTATGGTTAGGACCCTATAATAGAGATTTTGGTTAACCAAAACAGGAACTACAATGGAGACTACAGGTAGAACACAACGCACGTCCAAGGTCGGGGCTGTACTGCTGCAAACGCCGGCGCAGCGGCGTCTGTACCCGCCGCGACTTCCTGCGCAAAGTTGAAGGTTTATGGTGTTGTGGTCGCCATCACTCAATTTAGGGCTGGTGTGATTAGGGTCGACCGCCCTGCGACGAAACACGGACAGTTGTGGATGCAATCGATGAAAACCCACACGGCAATACTGGCGTATGTAGTGATGCCGACGATACAGACCACATTGTGTACCTCATGAATCCTGAAGATTATCCAAGCCCCTGTTGGATCAAATTGAGAGCTTCACACCCGTGTGAACGACGCAGCAAACAACAGCCCGAGGATGCTAACCAACTTGCAGAGCGGACCTATTGATTTCAAGACTTTATTGCTGCGGGCTCTTGGAAGTCATGGTTAATTACGACTTCCAATGTTTCAGGTCTAGCGCATTGGCAGTTTACATTGACGGTCCATGTGCTCAGACCTTACATCAAGCCTCTTGGACCGAAATCCCGTAGCATGTAAGGAATTGGGGTTGTTCAATCCTAAAACTCAAAACCCCAAAATCAGAATACCCTACACACCAAAACTCGGAGCTAGGGATGCTATTGCTGATCATGCCAGATCTTGCCCTCTGAACCTCTTCGTGCTGGGCCTGATGATACCTGAGGCATTGAGCGACCTCCAACATCAGAAGAATCATGCGTATGGCATATGGAAGCCTCGAGTTCTTGACTTTTTGTGGGATCCGTGGAGAAAACGTTCTGTACGGTATAGTATGGGATCTAGTCCGACTACGATGGCATCATAAGGGCGCCGTATGCCGAATCTGTTGAGAATCTTTCAACATACGTAGGATTCCCCTCTTCAAGTTCTCTGCTCGATGTGCAAGAGGTAACCACAAATCATTCGGAGATGCTACACAAACAATGAGCCGCAAACGCAGTCCACATTTTTCACAAAACCGCGTGTGTCCTCAGTGAATGGAAGTTAAGCTGGGAGGTGCGGGGAGTTTCTATTCAAGAAATTTGACGATGTAATTTAATTTGGCTCGAATGACTAGTCTTAGTATTGAAACACAAACTCATGTCTATTGAGCTACACACTAATGTCTCTGCTATGTCCTCTCAGGACAGAATGGGGCAGCATGCTGTAAAAAGATGACGCATCACTCATGCTGATGAAAGCGCCCATTGGAACGGACGTAAATATCATCGCCCTCGTGAAGGCCATAACTGTCGAGCTCACGTCTGTTTTCAAGGATCACCCCGTTGCTTACCAAGTCCATGAAGTCTGGCATGGGAGCGATGCAATTTCCGGACCAGATGTTCTCTTTCAGAACGTAGGCCGAGTCGTACGGATGAACTTCCTTGCGAAACACAGGTCCTCGCGGCGGATGCACATAAAGCCAGAACAGTCGCCGTGAGCTCGGCTGGTCTTGTCCTGCAATGTGTTGATGATCGCCTTCACGCCTTGAGAAACGAAGAACGACGGATATTGAGTCACCTTCGACAATTCCACATCCGCCAATATCCTGGTCGTCATCATCGAGGGGCACCAGGTTGAAGGTCAAGTCTGCTTCTGAGTTCGCAGCGCCGAGATCCTGCAAAACTCGTCTCTTCAGGCTGCGGACGGTGTCAGTCATGTTCACGGCCATGAGGGCCGCTCGCCCCGACGGCAGAAGCAAAGAGACGTTGATGCTGGTCTGGGCCATGGCTTCTGCACGATGCTAAGGCGGATGCGGAGGGTGCCTAGGATACGTAAGAAAGGCCGGTCAGCTGGTCTGAACAGAAAGATGTCGCGGCGAAGCATCAACAGAAGCTTACCAAAAGAGCACGTGCAAGACTGAATGCCAAAATCGGCTGTTCCCTGGTCGTCTCAAGTTCCTTCAATCCCAAATCTTAGCCTAAGTACATCCTTCATATAGTACTTGAACCCGAAGCGTTAAGCTTCAAACTCCAAACGCGTTTAAAACCAAACTCCTGAGAAGCCCGAAGGCCCTCCCTTAACCTACCCAGAACTTACTTTCGCGTAGGGTCCCTAGAAATCCCTTTTTGGGGTTTAAATAAGAACCTACAAAAGAGTAGGGTTTAGCAGGTCTAGGTAGTCTACAGAATCTCCATAAGAGCCTAATGTAGGGGCCTCAGTAATTAATTAGAACAGGGATTTGGGGCATGTGCTCTATGAACAAATTTGCGGAACCCCAACAATAGTGTACGAAATTCCTATATGCTCCCATAGTATCGCAGCATCTCTTGCAACGGTAGCGGTCCACAACCCACGAAAGAGCAGCGCTATAGCCATCTGAACTGCCGTGACAAGCGTGACGGCCTCGGATAGCAGCTACACAGGCCAAGTGTCAGGGGTCAAGTTCCAGCTGTAGGGTTTCCGGGTTAAGCTCTGGAGCTTACGGTTTCAAGTTCAAGGTGCGGGATTTAGACTTTGGGGGTTCGTGGCTTACGGACTTCGGTTATGTGCCTACTAGCATCCCCACAGAAGAAACACCTGCGACAAATCCTCACCAACATTCTGAAGAAGCCCTAAACCCTAAACCCCAAGCAACGTAGACTCTGCCTCGCACGGAAAGTACCGTAGAGTGCAGGGCTTAAGGGCTTCGGCTCGGAGCTTCACGTGCTAGGCGCCCCGGTGCCTGAATAGTATCATTGAAACTATAGGGTTTAGGGTTTAAGGTTAGGGCTTATAGGGTTGGGGTTAGGGTTTCGGGTTGAGGGTGTCAGGGGCCACTGCCTTTCAAAACCAAAAGCTACACGCAGCTTGACCAAGTTGTCTCAGCGCATCCAAGGGTCCACAGGGTACGGCGGTGCAAAAGTGACCATAGAAGTGCCTGCTACCTGGGGTGCTCTTGTGGCCAAGAAACCGGAAAGGCTGGAGTAACTCTGGCACAAAGCGAAAGAGCTTGAATAAGTTCTGGGGTCTTTACAACAATTATGTGATACGCTGTTGACTCAATTTTGACCGGGGTTTCGTCGATTTGTTGCGTTCTCATCATGCAGCGAGCATGACAGCAAATGGAGGCTGCTGGTACTAGCTGACGAACATCTCGGATTCATTCACACTCCGGGTCCAGACGAGGCAATTCCGAAACCAATACCAAACAAATCACTGACAAACAAACCCACATCCCAAAGACATGTTCGCGCGGTGAACCCGTCGGGTTGCTATCAGCGTGGTGCAAAATAGCAACAGCGGAACGCAGGCATAGGCTTGCGCGTACCAGAAAGTACCTTGGCCAACAGATCAAGTCTTCGGAAATATTTGTACTTGTTTAACTACTTAAGTATGTGCTTCCAAAAAGGCCAAGTACACAAAGGGTAGAGTTCTAGCCCCGCAAAGCTTTCCACTGAGTGGGTTTTGGTACCTATTATAGCAGTACTTGGAGCTTTCGGGATTGCAAACTCCGCAAGACCGCTCCAACAAACTCTGCAGTAAACTCGATAAAGTTGGAAACGGGATTAAGGCCAAATAGTGCTGGAATTCCCTATACATCACTCTTAGGGATCGAGGCTGTTGGGCTTCCAACTTTTGCGCTTCTACTGTAGCGGAAATAAAAACAACATTAACCTAAACCCCAAACCCTGCATCAAATTCAACGTAGGTTCGAGACTGTGCCAGGGGCAGGACCAACTATGGCTGGTATTCCGCACGACCACGTGCGGCGTGCTTAGTCGGAGGTGCTGGCTAAATTTTCAGGGAATTACAACCTTTAAGGTTTACGATTTAGGGTGCCTGTGATGCCCCCGAAACCTAGTATAAGCCAGAGGCGGTTGCAAATCTTCGGCTTCATTCCTGTTACAGATGGTCTCTTCTGCTCCCAACAGGAAACCCTTTTGCTGCAGGCTTGCTTGCAAGGACGCCTGGTAGTTTGCGGCTCTTCCGCCAGTTAGGACTGTGCTCGTGACAGACCCCAACAGGAAACCCTTTTGAGCGCGGGCTTGGGTTGTATGCCGGCAAGCTGGGCTCTCAAGGTCTTCATGAGATACCAGCAAACTTTACCCTAAACCCTCTCTGCTTCCCAGGCAACATGGGATGGACAGGACGAAAAAGCCTCGGCCAGGAAAACGACTCGATCCGAACTGGCTTCCAAAAGCTCCTATAGTGAATCCCAGAAAGTTGGAACACAGGTTTAGGATGATTCATGCTGGGATTCTCTAGGCTTTACTTTACTTAAAGGGCATGAGGATCATGATGTTCCAACTTTGTGGCTTCTACTTTAAGCGGCACTTCCGGCGCCGACTCTTAGACTAGCCGGGTGAGTCTAGATTTCCGTTTAGACTTTTGGGGGCTGCGCCAGCTGAAAGACCCAGGTTCATGTACACACCCTTATCAACCATACAAAGACTCCAAAAGTTCCAAGCTCAAAAGGTTGCTTGGAAACGGGAAAACCCTAAACCCTAAACCCTATAAACCCCATAAGCCCAAAACCCTCAAGCGCAACGAACAAGCCGGAGTCTCACGGAGAGTCACGATACAGCGAGCCTGTATTTCAAGCCACAACCGTCGACAATTGACCTCACACTGGGTTACCTGAACTCTCCGGTGTAGTTCCCATCTTCGGTGGACCAGTCTAAGAGTAAAGACCCTATAAACATTGGGGTATGACTTCAAAGAAACTCTATATATATATATATGTAAATATTGAAGAGAATACCCTAAACCATAAACCTAAGGAGTATTCGGCATATAACTATTGCAGCGGTCAGTATATGTAGCACTCAGAGACAACATATGTAAAAAGGCGGCCGTAGAGGCCTGCAGGGTCGTAAGTACCCAGATTATGGTCGAATGTAGGATATTTTCCCTACATTCGAGGATTTAGGGTTTAGGGTTTAGGGTTTATATTTAAGGAATTCTTGATATGACTTGAGAAAGTATCCCTCCCATACCAGTACTTAGGACCTTCTGGGTAATTATTGGCAGGCTTGTAAGGCTTCCATGTGTTTTACATCTCCCCGGGGGCATCTGAGTCTGAAGTCCCAATCAGAGCTCAAACCGGTCGTAGAAGTAATCATGCCGAATCTCCGAATGCCCCGATGCCTTCGATTCGGCTGTCGCACCCTGACCAACCCTGTTCGACGCAAGACACACGGCAGTCGTTGGATTTTGCCGGAGGGACCGCCAGAAGCGTCGGCGGCGAAGAAAGTACCATCTAAGTTGTGCAGGTCCAACCGGCTGCCATCCACGACGGTGGCCCTGTCCCAAGCAAGAAGCGAAACCAAACCGTCGCTTTCCGAGCTGTGAAGTTCAAAGCTGCAAGAACTTTTACTACGAGGGACTGATTGTAATTAGGCTCACGAATGACGCCCTGCGCATTGCTGCCGTTGCTGTGGTGCCGTGCGTCTAGTTCTGCATGGCCCAAAGCATGTAGATGTCTGATCAGTGTGGTAAGGATGCCCGAATGATTGCGGACGGCAAGAACACCATGTCTAGTTCTGCAGCTGGAAGGCTACGGCTGCTGTGCTGCTGCGACTTCTGTGCAAGTGCTACTATGTATTGGCATGTGCAAAAACTGCGTGTACACTCGTACGACCATTGTGGTTACTGCGAGAAATAGTATCACTGCCACCTCTTCTTGTTGCTGCTGCCGCGGCAAGGACGACGACGATGGATGATGCACCACACGCCCAAGCTTAACCCTGAGCTGGTGGGTTTAGGGTTTAGGGCTTACCCAGAGGGTCCAAGTACTCCCTATTATAGGACTTTAGGGCCGTTTTTTACGTATCAAAAACCATAAATAAGGACTACTTAGACCCTTAGGGTTCGGGTTAAGGGTTTCGAGCCATCAGGCAGGCGAGCCTTTTGTACTGGCCATCGAGGAGGTAGTGATTGGTTTGCGTGAAGTGGACACGGAAGGTCGTACCTGCTTGCGAGAGTCTAATTCAACCAGTGGGTTTGTGGGCTGAGGACCCACGAGACCTGCACTTGAAACACCAATCCGAAACCATCATTGACACAAAAAGCAAACCGGGAACCCTAACCTAGTTTAAACTCCTAAACCTCATAAACACTCAACCCGATCAACCTCCAATACTGAAGAATAATTTAAGTTTGCTCTCTCACAAGCCAGACTCGCCAGATGGCACAGCTCTCACTGTGAGGCCGTGCAAATTTGGGAGGCTTCGAAAATACTAGGGGACCCTAATATAGTATCCTGAATAGTAGGATCCTTATTTCAAGGACCCCAAAATGAGGGACCCCTAATGTTCGGAAACTCCCGTTTGGAATAGAACATCGCCTGCTTTCCAGGCCTCACTTGAACTTTCAGGGGGCTCGTTGGTGTGGTCTGGAAATCCTGCCGCTCTATGGGTTTTCGAAACGGTGTATTTGTGATGGCATCTTGTTTTGAAGCACGGGCTCTCATATTCCCTTTTTTGAACCCAGACTCTGCCGATCAGCTGGGAAGCACTGCAAGACTTCAAATCTGCAGCACAAATGACAAAGACCCTAAACCCCTAAACCCCTTTTGCATCCAGGCCTCCTGTGGTGTTGCCGGGTTATCAGCGCACTTGCACCGAAGATACGAAGGAAACAGCAAACCCTAAACCCCTAACCCCCGAAACCCTAGGCCGTGAACCCCACATCTCCAGAAAATCTGTCGGCGACGAGCCTTAAACTCAGAACCTACCCTAAGCGGTTTAGGGTTTAGGCTTTACAATTTAGGGTTTGGGCTTACGGTTTAGGATTTAGGGTTTGGGTTTAGGGTTTAGGGTTAGGGTTTAGGCTTTATAATTTAGGGTTTAGGGCCAAAGTTTAGTGTACACCCTTGGAACGGTTCAGGGCCTAGGTTTCGGTTTCAGTTTTCAGTCTCGACTCTCCGAGTCTGCTCTCACTGCACCGAGGAACTTCCTGCAGTCTCTATTGCAATTTCCTTGCTGGGGATACCTCATAGGATCACAAAAAAAGGTGAAGCCAAGACAAGGAACTACGATGGAGGCTACCAGACGTTCAATGTTTAGGGCCCCTTGGGAAACCCGAGTGAGTGCGAGCAAGCGGCCAACGCGCAGGAAGTGCGAACCTGGAGACGGCGTGCCCCAGTCTCCACTTTCTATACCCCCCGAACCATTACAAAAAATAAAAGGTTCAATATTCTCTTGGGTTTTATATGAACAAAAATGAAGAACAATTCAGACTATAGCTTTGATTATGGACAACAAGATGCATCAGAATCCCAAACACGGTAGTTCCTGTAGCTCGACTCCCTTGTTGCAAATGAAGTCCATCAACGGTAGGAAACTTCGTAAGCTTGACACCCTCACCTCCCAACCGAAACCCTCAAGTTACTCAAGCTCATAGGCCGGATGTATCTTCCAGGTTGCAATTATATATATATATATATATATATATATACATATTCATATTGTATATATATATATATATATATATATATAGGTATATATATATATATATATTTATGTATATTCCCCCCCCCCCCAAAAAAAAAAAAAAAAAAGAGCCACCACAAAACCCTGGATATTCTTGGGCAACAGGCCACGTGCGGAATTCACCCTTAGCCCGCCGTATCCGAGAACCTGCGTGACACTCACAACTGCTGCGCGGCGATTCACGTCAACTCTCTAACCGTCTGCAGACGGCCCCACCTTTAAAAGGCGAACCCTCTACATTAAAGAGTACATGTAGATCCTTTTTTCCAGGGTCAGGGTGTTGGGTCGAGAGCTTATGCTTGGACATCTGGGCTTTCGGTTTCCTTGTGCGCCAGCCGCAATTCAAAACGCATGCCGAGCTACCAAGCGTGGTCACCACCAGGTGATCTCCTGCAGCCCAACTCCGAAAACCCTCAGAACAAGATGGGGGCCTGAAGAAGCAAACTGGATATCTACTTCTGTGACAATACTCACTTACTGAACATCAGGTACTAGCCTCTTCATGGAGGCAAAGCGGGCGTAGTCACCAGTCATGCACAAGCCCTGTGGTTTAGAAGTCGCAGCCTTTGGAAACCATCTTTTCAAGTTGTGGTAAGCCTCTTTTGCTAAGTACACCTGGTATCTTCTCTTGCTTCGTTTGCATTTCTTGTCTTGAGCTCTGAAGCTTTGAGGAACTAGTATAGGGGCCTTACTAATTGGAATAGGGTGTTGGGGCTGTTGGGGCCCATGATACTATAATTATAGCAAGGAGCCCCACAATAGTATTTCTATTTAATTCGACCCCCATATTACGATCCTTGGCCTGCCAGTGAAACAACCCTGAATCCCGGAAGGCTCATTCTTTTCCAGTCGGTCCCTGCAGCCTACACTATACAGCATCCGATTGAAACCCTACAGCCCTAAAAAAAAAACGCCTTCTCCGACTTCAGCCGATAAGACTGGCATGAGACTCATGAGCATGACATCAAGGCTGAAGTCCTGTCGGAAACGTCCGGACAATTCTTAACCGTCCCTGGCCTCTGATCTCAAAAAGGCGCGATATAAGGTTTAGGGTTTAGGGTTTAGGGGCTATAATATAGGTAACTCTAAAAATCATGGTCCCTTCGAGGAGCCGTAAATAGCTTTTACTCTTAATGCGGCACCCTGTAGTTTGTGGATCCAACAGAGACCCCATTGTTTGGACAACCACCCATGTCCCAAAGGGCCCACGCACAAATAATAGTAGGTACTTAATAGGTATTCCGGCCCCCAAAGCATATACTACACTGTTACATGGACCCTTCAAAACCCCAAGACCCCAAACCCTGAACCCTAAACCCTAAACCCTAAAACCCTGAACCCTAAACCCTGAACCCTAAACCCTAAACCCTAAACCCTAATCCCTAATCCCTAAACCCTAAGCCCTAAGACCCCAAGCCCTAAACCCATGGTGGCCTTCACCCTCCACCGAGATATCTTCGATCAGGACTCTGCGTCCACTCACTCGCCAGCCGGTCTTCCCCTGCAGGGTCAAAGCTTGGGGGGTAGGGTTCCGGGTTAAAGTTCCTAAAAAAGGGTACAAAATGGGGTACTTTGTAAGGGATCTATAGTAAGGTTACTGTAATGATGTAGGAAGCTGATTTAGAAACCTTGGGCCTTTATTAGGGTCCCTTCTATGAACCCTATGATGTTGGGGGTTATAGGCCCAGGGTTTCTTGATCAGGTTCCGGGTTAAAGTTCAGGGTTTTGGGGTTTAGTGTTTAGGGATTTAGGGTTTAGGCTCGGTGTTTGGTGTAAGGTTGAGTGTTTCGGAAATCGAAATCCCGAATCCTCATTCAAACGCCCTACATGATGATCGTGGTGTCTATTCAGCCTTGCAAACTGGTGAAGCTGTGGGACAAAATTACAAACCCAACCTTTACCAAATCCGAAGGCCGCTATATCCTCAATCCGGAGCCCGCAGCTATCAAAGCATCAACCTACCTTCCTCAAGCTACAGCCATCTTAATTTGAACGGACCTCTCAGATGAAAGCCGGAATCCAGAAGCAAGATTCCACCCTCGAAACCGACCATCCCAAACCAGGATTTCTAAAGCTGGGTCCACTCGGCGTATGAAGGTTGTGCACCTTAAAATGGTTCTACAAACCTCCAAAAGTATAGCAAGCAACCAAAACGACACCGCACCAGCCCAAATGCCAAGGTGAACAAACCAAGCACCCTTCAAGCCCAAACGGTTAAAAGTCAAAGCCCCTAAACCCCTCATAAACCCTAAACCCCTCATAAACCCTTAACCCCTAATCCCCAAACCGCCTCAAACCAGTGAGCTCCCGGCGTTTCTGCAGGCCTGTCTTAACAAATCAAAGATAGACTTGACGAGGAGAACAAGGTTGCTTCAAATTGATTCGGGGTTTCAGAAGCGGATTACGTCTAAGGGGTAACGCATACTGTAGTTAAAGAGGGTTTAGACTATATGGGTGGATTCTTACCGGGTGGATTCTTACAAGTCATTCAGACCTGTACTAGAGTTTGGGGCTGCGAATTTAGATCTCGTGTTTCAGAGTTTGTGGCTTGGGGTTTGGTTTCCGGTGTGATTTATGCTCACGGCACGGAATGGGCTGAGAGTTTGGGAGCTACTTCTCGCTTCGGAGAATTTAGAAATGAACTTCGGAGTTCTGGATAGTAGTCCCGGAAGATGTGGAAGGGCGAAGCCTCGAACGTAAGTAAGTTCGGAAGGAGCGCTCTGGGTACAAGCTTCGAAATGGGCAGTTCTCTAAATTAGGGTACCTTGCCGTACCATATTGGGGACCTAAAAAGGGACCCTACTTTAGAGAACTGCCCAAACGGAGGCTCAGGGTTCACGGCTTACGACGGTGAGGGTGAGGGGTCGCTTAGGAGCCGTCATCTCAGTCGTTAGGTGCCGAAAAACCCTTCAAAAAGCGTCACTGCCTGGTTGGTGGATCGTGTCATATGCAAAGGTACGAAGAGTTGTAAGTCATAGCGGTGCAGTGGAAGAAAGGATCGATGCAAAGCTATTAAGCTTGAATGAGACAACGGTAACATGCTAATAACTCTTGCTTGTTCTCAAAAGAGAAACTACACTCCTGCGTCATGGGTCAAACTAGACTTGCCATTTTGGTCGCCTATGCCTGAGCCAACAGAGCAGTAACCCAAAAATATCTAGAACACCTACACACCGGTGAACCCTAAACCCCCTAAACTCTAGAAACCCTGAACCTTGCTTTAAACCACTCGGATATCGTAAACCCTAAACCCTCAACGCCCTGAACATCTATTAAGCCCCAAATCCTAAAACCGTAAAGCTTAGAAGCTGCCCCCACCCTGTAATAGTGACTATAAGGATTATAATTGGGCCTATTATATTCCTATTATACCACTATTACAGGGTGGGGGCAGCTTCTAACGTAAAGCCCCATAAACCCCAAAGCCAGGAAAGCCTGGCTCGATCAGGATGCGTGAGCTCAAGCTGAAGACTCAGGAGGAAGAAGGCCAAAGTGAGGAAGAGGTTCATGAAAATGATCGCCAGCGCCTTGTCTTTCGGCTTCCAAAATCAGAGTCAGGGGTGTGGGATAAGGGTTAGGTTCAGCAGAACGATGCCCAAAAGCCTCAGATTTAGGCAAGTTAATTCCGAAGTCCGAAGCAAAGACATACCCTAAGGCTCAAAATAGCCCAAAAGCCTTATATAGTATGGTCTTTGGGCCCAAAAGCCTTAAAATATGAGTCCTTAGAGCCTAAGGGTTAGCTTTAGGCTTTGAGCGGGGATCTGTTGTGCCTCGGCGGCTACGCCTGCGGAGAGACCGCGAGTCGAGGCGGCCGGCGCTAAGTATTACTAAACGTTCAGACCCCTATGGGTAGTTGTCAAAATCAAGGGTCCCTTTTGGGTACCATAAATAATAGGTGCCGTATTGTAATAGGGAATCCAAAAGGAGCATACTTTTGACAACCGCCCATATATTGGAACAGCGGGTTTTAGCTTTAGGGACTGAGTGCTAAATCCTAATACCTTTGGTGCCGCAGTGACGATAAAGTCAGCAGGACACAGGTTTGCTGTACTTCATGCCTCAATATTCAGAAGAAACAGGCTTGGGGCATATTCTGGTGCTCGGCCTTCATGCTATGTATGTTTCTTTCCCTCCTACCCAGCAAGGATGCGGCCCGCATTGCAGGGTAACTTCAAAGTAACAGTTGAAAGCAGCTCCACTCCTGGAAGCCAATTAAACCTCCAAGTCAAGGCAGCTTGATGGCCTAGATATCTTGATGCCTCGCGGTTGGCCTACATCAAGCAAGGAGGGTCACAACCTAAGGTAACTACGAGAATGTTACACTCCGAACCTGATGAAGCGACTTGCACTTGCACTTGCTACGTCCCATGATGGTTCAAGTAGGGTTTAAACTTTAAACTTCGACCTGCGGGTCTATAAATTTCGATAAATGCGGGAGCTTGTGCTCGTGGCGTCTGAGCTGCCCGGTCCGCATACATCACGCACCCCGTCTTGTCCTGCGAGGTGGAGCGTCATGCTGACATTCGCACTCGGACAACCAAAATCAAAATCTGTTGTGAAGCCTAGACTCGAAGAATGCGCCAATTTAATGCTTTATGACTTTACGCTACTTGCTCAGACCCTCTGTTACCCGCGGGGAAAGGATCTAAAAAGGGTGTGCAACTTTTGCCTTGCGCTGGGGCGCCATCTGACATTGCAATGCCGCCGGCAAAGACGAAGCACCGATGAGAGGCGCGTTCAAGCCCAAAACCATCCCTGACCCTCAACCCCAAGGGTCCAAAGGACTCAATAATTAGGTACTGGGTTTTAAGATAGTAGTTACGTAGGTTACTATTTTGGAGAGTATATGATAATTAGGTGCTTGGACCCCTAGGGTAAGCCCTTTGCAGGATCTTACCACAAAGTAAACACAACATCCCATGTAGGCCTACCTGGTCTCACCGAGTAGGCGCTTGAGTTGAAGCATAAAGCCTGAAAGACAAACTCCAGAACTCTCTCTCTCTCTCTCTCTCTCTCTCTCTCTCTCTCTCTCTCTCTCTCTCTCTCACAGGCACTCGAAGCGTCAGGCCTGGTCCAAGGGCAACATCTGCGCCACTCGTAAATCCAGAACTCTAAACCCAAAAGTCACGAACGACTGAGTGCTGAGGCCCGATATCCGAAGAAAACTAAATCGAAGCACTGGCTGCTCCAACGGCCTAAAAACACAGCAATACTTTCAGAGCCTTGCTGTCAAAGGCTCTATGAGTGATGCAGGAAGCCTATGTGATTCCCATCTTTGGGAGCTTGGGGCTTAGGGCTTAGGGCTTCAGGGTTTAGGGGGGCTCAAGCTCCCATATGCCCGAAACCCCCATATGTCCGATCAGGGCACAGAAACCGAATTCAAAAGCAGCTGGCGACTTTCGGATTCTGCGACAATTGGCAAACCCAAAACCCCGAAGCCTGAACCGACAATAGACAACCCTGCGCCGAGTTCGCGTACCTCGTTGGGCCCGTTCCACGGCAGGCCACACTGATTGCAGACTCCACCGTTGTTGTAGCTGTCACCTCCGTCTCTTTTTGCTTTCTTAATTTTGCCTGGAGTCGATTCTGGCTTAGGTTGTAAGGCTCCTTGCAAGCGATCTATGAGGGTGGTAAGGGCTACTAGAGGGTCTGGCATGTAGGTGTACGGTGAAACTTCCGGTCTTGTGTGGCGGTTCTCTTTGTAGGGCTAAGCTGCTAAGCTCTTGGCTTTAAGGTTTTATCCGGTTTGGGGTGTATAGGGCTTACGTCCTGTTGCGGTTCAGCGAGTAGCGGGGAGTGTGGCGACAGATCTAAATTGTTCTGCCACATGCAGATCCTGTATGTACAGGTGAGTCATAAAGTCTCTCTATATGTATATATGTACACACCCTATCTATTTCAGGTGGATACAGAAACATATATATATATATATGTATATATATATATATATACATATGCGTGTATGTATCTAGTACACTATGCGTACATATACATACATTGCATGCATCCAGTCGTACCTACATACGTGCCCACATACCTACAATCTCATGCATGCATGCGGACATAGATGCAAACATACACATGCGAACATGGTTTTATGCAGGAAAACCTACTGACGATCGAGACCAAGGCCGTGACCGCTTGCAGTATCGAGGAGCCCTTTATTTATAGTTAGTCACTGTAGAGTCAGATTTCCTTTGGAAGGTTTCGATAAGGGTTTACCTGTAGAGCCTTGCTCGGTTGAAGTAGGGCTTTAGGGTTTTGGGGTGCGTTATATGTGATTAAATGCGGAGCCCCAAAGAATGGCGCTGGTAATTGTGTACGTTTCCATACTTTGTCGGACGTCAGTAAACCGTAATCTGCAAGTCCCGATGCCTCAACTCTTTCGAACTCTATGGTAATATCACGCAGCCTTGTCCTCTGAGTGTCTCAAGTGACAGTCATCACCGAACTAGCATTTACTGCCCGAATGACCAGAACAAGAAGAATTATAATTTTATCGATCTCTCTGCTTCTCTCTATCTCGGCCGCTGCATCCGAATGCATCGCCCCACTGCATGAGAAAATTCGATCATACTATTCTGTGCAGGCCTCTCTCATCAGGCCCGAACGTTGCAATCTGATCCTTTCAAGCGGGGCTCACCCCACCTGTGCAGATCACCGTAATGTCGCCTACCAGCCTCCAGTGATCCTCACGTCCAGGAGGCTTCTAGACTCTAGATTCTAGATATGTGGGCGCTTTCGCGTCTCGGGCTCACACCCACTTGTCTTGTGGGCTGGTGGGGGTTCAACATTCAGGGCTTAGGGTTTAGGGTTCGGGGCTTCGGCCAAGCCGCAAAGCCTTCGAGTTTGTGGAGCCTCGGGATTTGGGGGAGGTTCAAGTTTCCAGCTTCGCAGTCTAGGGGGCCCCGGGACCCAAAAATGTTCGACTCCTGAACCCTCAACTCGTGACCTTGAGCCCTTAGCCTCAACCCTGAACCTGCAACCTCACACCATCAACCTTTAAGCCGTGACCCTAAATCCCAAGTCCCAGCCGAAGTGGCTGGCAGATTGCATGCCATCTCTGTGGAGTACTCGCGGCACCAGCAGAAGTTGTACTGTCCTGCTGGCAGCTCTCTTCCCTACCCAGAGACTCCAATACCCCTTGATTAAGGAATATTCCTGAAATTATAGTAAGGATCCCAAGTATGCTTTAAGATATATTCCTTAATTAACGGATATTGGAGTCTCTGGGTCACCTTAAAGGACCGACGGAACCTTAAACGATGGGACCTCGGCCCGGTGTGCCATCCTACTATTTAGGGAAGTGTAATAGGGTCCCCTACTTTCGGAAACCCCCACATAGAACATCCCCAACCGAGCACATTTCTTTTTCTTCGAGACGCTGAGTTACAGTAGCTGGGCAGCGAGACCGAGTGGAAGACTCCAAGAAGCCCCAAGTTCCCCTATCTGGTGGTTGTCAAAATTAATTAGGGTCCCTTGTGGGTCCTCATTATAAGACGGCACCTAATATTCAGGGTACCCAAAAAGGGACCCTAATTTTGAGAACCACTCTATTGAGTCCTACTGCGGGATTCAGACAAGAGAGGTCCCAGGGTTCAGCGCCTTGAAACATCCAGGCCTATTGCGACTGCCGGGTACCCAGAAGAAAAGAAACCGGGGGCCAGGCAAATCAGGGCCTTGAAACCTAAACCCCGAAACCTGAGATCCACCACTTAGCAGGCCAAAGCACTGAGCCCCAGATAAAGGAATACTTCTCATATCCTTACCTATAGACCCGCAGTGGGGTTCATCTTAAGGAACTTACCATGCCATACACCCTGTGATTGAGTTTAGATGCCTATAATGGCAACTGAGGCCAGGTTCCTGAACCCTTAACTACCCTAAATCCTGAACTCTCTACCATATACTTACATAGCCGAAGCCACCAGAACAAGAACCCATACAAGCCCAAAGAGTCTCAAAGCTTGCAACTCCTGGTGGTATGCTCTGCTCCTGGACCTTGCCACTGGGGTATATGGGTAGTTGTCAAAATTAAGGTCCCTTTGTGGCTACCCCCTTATTAGGGACCCAAGAAGGGACCATTATTTTGACAACCATCCATATGGCTTTCGGTGTTAAGGTTTAAGGCTCGTGTCGCACTCTGTTGAGGGTTGAAGTTTGAAGGCATTGAGAGGTTTGGACTGGGGTCTTGGCTTACTTACTGCTGGGCAGGCCCAGAGACTCCAATGTCCCTTAATTCAGGAATATACCTTAAATTATAGTAGGATCCTTTATATGATTAAAGGCATATTCCTTAATTAAGGGATATTGGAGTCTCTGGGGGGTCATGCTTGTTGAGATCTGCAATCCGAGTCTTACATGAAGGTTGGAGTCAAGAGCTTGTGGATTCTGCAGTGGTGCAGTCTAGAGTCTAACCGTCAAGTGTAGGCTTTCTACCACCGGCAGAGACTACAACGCACGCTGGGGATAAGAGATAAGAACAAGCCTGGCGTGTGGTGCTTGCGGGAATCTGCTGTATTGCTATCGCTGCGGTGCAGAGGCATCGCTGCACGCTTCACCGCAACCGGTTTCCTCCTTCTCAGAGACTCCAATCTCCCTTAATTAAGGAATATACCTTAAATCATATAAGGGATCCTACTATAATTTAAGGTATATTCCTTAATTAAGGGATATTGGAGTCTCTGGGTTCCGCTTTTTCTCAGAGCATTTGTCCGCCCAAGCCACAGTTCTGGAATTTGCTCACATTGCATCCTGCAGCTCCTGCTCAAACCCTTTCTCCTTTTTTGCCACTGGACTCAAGTCTAGCCAGTCTACGACCCACAACCCTTTTGAACCTGGACTTGATGAATGACCCACAACCTAAACCCTAAGTAGAATCTGAACCCACCTTTCGAGACCTCGTCCCTTGACCATGAATCCCGAGAATGCCTACCTTTGGACGCAAGCCAACTTTACTGCAGGTTAGAAGCTCCATACATGCCGACTGAAAGACACGTGACGTTCACGCGCCCGCGACACGGAGCGGTGCTCTGACGTATAACTGGGAGTTTCCGATTAGTAGGGGTACCTTATTTTGGGGTCCTTATAATAAGGATCCTACCATTTGGGGCCCTACATTAGCGTCCCCTGTTCTCAGAAAGTCCCAAATACGTATAACATTTTAGCATGCCCAGAAGATGCGGCATACGCCCTGAACTCTGCTTATCCCAACGTGAGTTGTCCTTTTGGGCCGGGTCGCTACACCGAAATCGAAGTTGTAGCCGTCCGTCGTTTCTGTGACCTTTGAGGCAAAGGCTTTGGGGTTTGGAGGGGAGTGCTTGCAAAAGAGAGAGCCTACATCTGACAAGGTTTGCAGCCGGGCTCAGAGAGGGTGCTATTTGTGCTGGATGGCACATGCCCGGTCGACCTTACAGCTCTGGGTTTAAGGACCGCCGAAAGCTGTGAGGGCCTTCCATGTAAGAGCCAGCTAGTTGCTTTTGCTGTGATTCGGCGGCTGGACGCATCGGATTTATCAGGTTTTTGTGCATTTCTCCATAGCTCCAGACCCACTCTTCAAAGTCTGCAAGAGATCTAAACAAAGGTGTTTCAAAGGCACGCATTTAACCCAAACCACTCACACAGATCCCTAAGCCCGTCCGGAGCTCAGACAGCAGTCCTACAACAAGCCGAAAGGCCTGTCTGAAAATGTCAAATCCTGCATAAAGGGAACTCCAGACAGTTGGAATATGGTTTCAGGGTAGGAAACCTTATAATTTACCATAAAGGGTTTAGGATAATCATATTCCAACTTTCTGGCTTTGACCTTAGTTCATGAGAAATTACCTACCAGAGTGCCCGCAAATTTACACGATAGATCACGATAGTGTACACCAGACCCTGCCCAAATTTTGAGACCCCCTCCTCGGAGCGCCAAAACCTCACTTCGGCCCACGTTGCACTTTTAAGCCTTCAAGCACAGGTCATCATAAACCTGGGTCCCTTTAAAGGGATATAGAGTATGGTTTATATTACTAGTATCCCCATAATAGAACCCAATATATACAATCACCAATATTCAAAAGGAGCCCGATCTACACTCACAAAAACGGTAATTTTAACCCTACTTCATATACTTTTTAGCCCAGTGCAAGCAAGCTGCCAGGAAACTCTTCGGACTGCCACAGCTCGGTTTGATCCTAGGTCAGCTGGGTCTTCATAGGTTCTTAAAAGAGTAACCTAGGAATAAAAAGGGTGCCCTTTTTGGTTTAAAGGGGCTTATAAGGGAACCTAAGCCTCAAAAAAGGGAACAAGGGCCTACTCTGGGTCCTAGTCATAGGTTCTTTTTTGTTGAGGGCCCTTTTCCTCCCTGCTACAGTCGGAATACCTAGTAGGTAGAGCCTGGTATGAGTCTTAATAGGTTCAGGGTTTAGGGAAAACTCACAACACCCCGGTAGAACCCTGACAGAAACCCCATACAGAGACCTCTCCGATAACCTTTATCGGAACCTGAGAGACTGGGCTTACACCTTCAGGGTGTTGAGCTCGATGACCGTTTCACTTTACATCGTCAGTCCTTGAAAATGCTGGACTACAATATGTTTTTTCAGACCTCGATGTATGTCTCGCTTAGATTTTATTATAAGGAAGGAAACTTCTCAAGAATTACTTTTTGAGGCGGTTCAGGCTTCACCGCCAGGTCCGCAGCAGACGAGTTTATGGCTCATGTGTACTACGGTTGTCTGGAAAGGTGCCTACCAGGCTGACGATGCGTAGGGATTCCTCCGTTTGACAACTCAAGACGGTAGGGTTGAGGTGTGCACAACCCGCAATATTGGGAACCAGACGAAGCTTCGCAGCCTGGCCTCTAGGAAAAGTTTCAAGACCATCTACTGGGGTCTCAAACAACACGGAGCACAGAGTGCAAAAATGGATCACCTTAGGGCTCTTTTCTTTGGGGTTGTGGCGAGGGGGTTCGTCGATGCGTCGCCCTTCGAGGCACTGAGCCCTACCTACTTTTTAACGGGCATTCTATCTATCGGTTATGACCGACTGAAGCTGCAGTACTGCCTGGACCTTTCGGGCTTCTAGTTCTCCAGTATCGCGAAAAAGGACACCCATCTGACAAATTGCAGGACCTGCTGTGAAGCTGTTGTTGGGTGAGCATCCCCACAGGCCTTGCAAACAGTGTATCTCATCAACTACTACTGGCTCTGCCCATATACGTCGGCCCTCTATCGTTGTATCACCAAGTGGGATCTTACGGAGATTGTCGTGGGAATCTAAGAACTCAAACAGGTATGCTCCTGATGTACATGTTTGGATGGATCTCTTAACTACCAATACTAGTTTTTATGGTTCCTTAGTATAACTGCAGAATACCAGACCGTCAACACCCAATTCAGCCCTATTCTCCTTCCAATTAGACAGGCCCCCATATTACTAGTCGTTGGTTCCTTGCGACGATGAGACTATCAGAAGCCAGGCGTCTCGAGCCTGTCGTTGGCTGATAGGCCAGTGCCTGCGATCGCAACCTGCAGGTTCTCGCGGGATGGCCCTGCACCCTGCAACCTAAACCCTGCAAACTGGTAGGTTATGACCCCTTTAATTATACCTGGCTTGATTATAAGGTATATCCCTTACAAGGATAGGTTTTCGGATCCCCAGGAAAAGCCTGCATCCTAAACCACATTAGCCAGCCGAGGCTTTTCCGACTTGGCGCATGTACCGAATAGACAGATACGAATTCAACCACTAGAGGGCCCCAAAAATGCACAAAAGCAACAGTTTGGATAGTGCAATCCCATATAAAACCCCTTATAGTGAAGCCCAACAAGGTCGGGATATCCCCATCAGATGCCTATGCTTATGTGCTTTTGGGGTCCCTAACTCACTAGAGGCTGGTGCAGGCCTGGCTGATTCATGTTGCACGAGTAGCCCAAAACTCAAGACAGCATGAACGCAAAATAGGTTTGGAGTTTTAGTAACCAGGGAGAGACAAGTATACACTTGTATTTCATGATGGTACCTTTAAAAAACCATTAAAGTATGGTACTCCAAAGCCCAGAATATGGAACTCTCTCGAAATAATACCTCGATGGATTCAGGTTTCTACTGCTCCGACCGGACTTCCACCCAACTCAGGGGCATGAAAGGCCGTCACATTAGAATTAGGGCTTATGGGGTTTGGGGTTTAGGTAATTAGATTTTTGGCCCGACCTCTTTCCCGCAAAGGTTTCGGGCTTGGGGTTTAGGGTGTACTCGTGACAGCGCTCGAAATGTAGATGCTCGTCCGTTGCTGCCGCAAACGGCACAAGTCCTGTAGTGACAACAAACATCGTGGCGCTTCTTGTTGCGGCTACGACCGTGCGGCATGTTTGAGACAGGACCACGCCATCCACATGAAAATAAGCCTGGCAATTGTACATATGCAATCAGCTCGCTACACAGCAGAGGTTGCCGTTAATTATCGTCATCGTTCTGGCTAATGTGGGGGTCGGTTTAGGAATATAGGCTCTTTTAATGCGTCGGCTCCGGGGCTAATTCCGAATCTGACAAAAAAATTGGGGTGTTCTAATTAATGCGTTTTTTTTTTGGCTGGGGTGATTTTTTGGTGGCGGGGCTGTGCTATTTGCTGATGGTCAATCTTAAGGCAGCCACGACCTAAACCCCCACCCAAACCCCCACCCAACCCTAAAACCCTGGCCCTGAAGCCCGAAAATCTCTTGCAGAATTGTTTCGCTTATTGGGGCGTCAGGAATGAAAATCTGTACTACTACTGTACTACTACTGTACTACTATTCTACTATACCTTGATTATTGGGGGGGGCTGGGGGGCTGCTAGGGTGAACCGCCGAATCGGGGATTGGACCCTAGCTCAAAAGAGGCCTCTCCAGTACTAAAGTTTGTATAAAAAATTAAGTTTTGGGTCGAATCTGGACCGACCCCCCTTTGGAAGGGTTTAGGGCTGAGGGTTTAATTAGGGTTTGTTATAGGGTCTAGGAGTTTAGGATTGGTTAGGGTTTAGGGTTCAGGGTTTAGGGTTTCAGGCGCTGGCCCAGACCCCCCCGACCCCCGACCGCGCAGTCGCGCAGAACCGCAGACCCTGCACCCAAGCCAGCCCCCAAACCCCGGCACCTCCCAATTCCCTGCCACTCAGACCGACCCCTGACCCCTGTCCGGGGCTACCGGTTCCAAATTAAAGAGACCAAAACTTTTTGGTCGGGGGGGGGGGGGGGTGGTACCCCACTATTAAACCGACCGCCACATTACTGCTGTTGTTGCTGTTGTTGCTGTTGTTAGCTGTTGTGGTGACTCGGCAAGCTTCCGCTGGCCATGCTGCCCGAGTTCGTCGCCTCGACAACCGTATCGGCACTCTACTGTTGCCATTCTTATTGCTCTTTTGATTTATCGCGAGCAGTGTGCTGTGGTGTAGTTGCTTGTGTTGTGAGGGTAAATGTCTGTGCGAATGCACGTCTCGAACATGCAATGGGCGATCTGGCTACCAGTGACAGTAGTACTGTTGAGCGTTGTGAGAACGAATGGCCTGCCGGGGAAAGCCCAGGTTGCAAGCTATCTCATGACCGAAATCATGATGCAGTTTTCAAGGTTGAAACATGCTAGAAGAGAATTGAGTATTATCATCACTTCAATGCGCAACATGTCCAAAACCACTGGTGCAGCGTTTGCTGCCCTCGCGAATCTCAGTCATGCCCAGAACAGGAAGCCATGAAAGCAAAACCCCTGGAAAGCTGCGCCTGCAGGGTGTCACCCATGTAAATCTGCGTGAGCTCCTGTGGGTACGGTCCGACCAAGACGAACAAGCCTCTGGCGCTTCTGAAAGTAGTTGAGGTGTAGTTGTAAGCTTGCGGGTGACGGGTCGTTCATGAACTCCAGATCTCGGTTCGAGGTAACGGGGGCAAGCTGGCGGGCTTGGAATTCCAGGCGTGTAGCCGGAGCATCCTACTTTCGAGAGCGATAACGAACGGGGTCCCCTCGACGATGAGTAATGAGTTCCTTACTTTGACCAAGAAGGGATGTTCTTGAAGTTTGATGTTGCTTAATTTTGCTTGAGGTTCGGGGCTCCGCGTTGGGAAGCTTCTCTCCGTCAGCTGAACCGCTTCAAATCTGTTCTCGTTCCAGTGTGCGCATGTGCAGTTGTTAAGGTAGGTGGCATTGAGGAATTAGTTGTACCTTGGTCCTTATGATAAGGATCCTACTATTTAGGGTACTATATCGGGGTCCCCTTAACAAGGGGACCCCAATATAGTACCCTAAATAGTAGGATCCTTAACATAAGGACTCCAAAATGAGCTACCCCGACTTTTCCGAAACTCCTAATATAGAACTGTCGATAGTTGGGCTCTTACAGGGAAGAGAAGCCTCGGCTCTGTCCTTAAACCTAGGAGTAACCTACGGTTGATGATATAAATCCTGCATTACCTTAAGGACCCTAAACTATGGGAATTGTGGTATATTCCTTATTGTGGGTAGTGCAGGATTTATATCATCAACCGTAGGAATAAGAAGGGTGCCCTTGTTGGTTTAAAGGGGCTTATGAGGTAACTTAAACCCGAAAAACAAGGACTACTCTGGGTCCTAGGTTCCGGTTCCAGCCCAAAGCCCAAGCGAAACCATTGACTATGCGGGCAAATAAGGCTAGCCCGGGTTTTTGCCTCCTGCATGGCATCCGTTAGGGTATAGGGTTAGGGTTTGGGGTTAGGTTCAGGGTTTAGGGTTAGGGTTACTATTCTGTAGGGTTTAGGGTTTGGGGTTGAGGGTTTAGGGCCAGCCCGAACCTTGCCTGCTGGGACGATGTAATCCTCCAGGTCCACACAGGGCCGCCCTGCGACGGATTCTCTTTCTTCTGTGTTCAGAGGAGTTCGGCTTTTCGATCGGATGTGGTCTTTGCTTCTAACCTCTGCCGCCCGAAAGACAGTCTAGCAAGCTTCAGTTCCAGCAGCCCCAAGAAAGAACAGTCATTGCCTGAGCTTCTTTCATTGGAACTGAAGTTTTTGAAAGGGTCGGCTGAAGAACTTCCAAAAAAGAGCAAATCCTTCCAAAGGCTTATACAGCGTTTGATAAAAAAAGAGTGCGCCGCTTACAAAGACTGGGTCACGGTGGTTCAGAAACAGGAACAAACCGTTCGAAAGAGATCAGTGCTTTTGACAGACAGCAGCCAACAGCTCGAAAAAGGATCAGAGCATTTGAGAAAACGAAGCCAATCGACCGAAAGACAGTAAAGCAGGCACAAACGCTCGAAAGGGAGCAGAGATGTGAGACAAAGCAGTGACTCCGTTGGGACCAGATGAATCATGAGAGCCGACTGCTCGAAATAGGTAACGGCTTTTGGGAGGGATACAGAGCATTGTACGAAAAGAGAGCAAGCCGCTCGAACAATTGAACAAGAGGAGCACCTGCTCGACAAGCAAGAAAACCAAACAGCTCGAAAGTGACCACAGAGCTTTTGCAATTGAGCGGCAAGCCCTTCGAAAGGAGTTGGCTGTACTTGAGGCAAGAGCAGCAAACTGCCCGGACGGATATGAGTATCTGAGGTATTTTGACCGAATCACGGACATCAAGCCCAGCTGACAGCTGCATGCCTGCCACTGTCGGACTGTCACAGCCTTACATGACACAGGCAGCTGCGACGAAGAGTGAACTGCAGCAATAAGGTGGGTGTGGAGTCGAGCGTTCTAGTGTTCCGACGGCTGATTGGTAACATGGAAGAAACAGCAACTTCATTGTCCGGTCCGGAGATTTGCAGCGGAGCCTGGCACAGACTTGCACCAGCACAGGCCGTACAGCCCAGCACCAGCATCGTACAGTGCCTGCGCAGGGCCGCTTCGCATCCCAGGTGTGTCGACAGTAGGAAACCTTAAGCCTGCGGCAAACGATCCCCACTTTTGAATCCGGAGCTCTATCCAATGAGCCGGGGGCCACGACCAGAGGACATGTGAACCCCACTGATAAACACACGTCATCCAACACCCTCCAAACCTTAAAACAACCGTAAGCAACGGTTGATGATATAAATCCTGCATTACCCATAATCAGGAATATATTTTTCTGGTATTTCTGTGTGAACTAATCAGGAATATATGAGAATTATGGCATATTCCTTATTGTGGGGGTCATGCAGGATTGATATCATCAACAGAAGAACCGACCCGACGCCTGGACATCCGCCATCGGATAGGGACCAGTCTCCTTCATCAACTCTGAAAAACTAGACCCAAGAGTAACCTAGGATGAAAAAGGATGCCCTTTTTGGTTTAAAGGGGCTTATAAGGGAACCTGAACCCTTAAAAAGGGAACAAGGGCCTACTCTAGGTCCTAGGAAAAAAAGCTTCAGTGGTTGAGACGGTTGGAGTCTTATGGTTTCGATCATGCAAACCAGTACTCAGCTTCGGAGTTGAGTTGAAATGAAGAGCCTAGCAGGATAGTGAAACATGTCGCAAGGCGTGCATCATCCACACATTTCTTGAGGTTGCCTCGTCCGCTATCACGGACGAACAACAGCATAGATAGCCAGGAGGCGTTTAAGTTTCTACCGAAACCCTGAACCCAGAGACCCCAATATCCCTTAAGTCAGGAATATACCTTAAAGCATATTAGGGACCCTTACTTTAATTTAAGGACTACTCCTTACTTAAGGGGTGTTGGAGTCTCTGGGAACCCCACCTGGAGTGTCATACCCTACCCCTTTTTCAGGGTATCTAGCTTTATGGTTAGGATCTCCTATATAGAGAAGTGGGTACCTTCAAAAAGGAGTAGGGTATGAGCCTATAGGTAAAGCCAAAGACAGTCATGTCCGGAAGCTTACGGTGCCGAGCTTATGCTCTGATAATCCCAAAGGCTCCATGTACCTTTATAGTAGATACATACGCCCTAAAGGGGTCCCTATATAGGTACTTTAAGGCCTAAGTATATACTATATGGGTACATGGAGTCTGAGGGAATTAGGAGTAGAAGCAGAGACACCTTCGCGGGCTCTTCACACTCGAAACGTCGAAGAAATGGGACGCATGTGGTCATCAGCAAACATTAGTATAAGGGTTATGTTGTAGTATCATTATGAGCAGTTGGTGTTTCTGGAAATTTGGAGGAGCGCATGCGCTTGTGAATCAGACGGCGGTGTACCAAGGGTTCTCATCGGAATGTAGGCCGCAAGAGCTAATGCCTAAACCCTCCAAAACTCGGAATATAGGCCTTCCGAGTGATCTCGGAAATTGAACAGGAAATGGAAAGTGCACCCACGCACGCACTGTATCCGATCATGTAGGGTTTAGGGTTAGGGTGTGATGCATTGACAGCGTTTAACACCTGAAGTTTCTGGGCGTTCCGTGTCTGACATCTATGTCGTGACTGTATTGCCTTGCTTGCAAGTACCATGCTGTGTGTATCTGTCCCTCGCAGGCTAGAGACCATTCATGGTTCAAGTGACTCCTCGAGAAGCTAGTAACAAGGACCGTGCACCTTCAACCGAGACAATCCCGGGCCCAAATGCGGGCCTTAGTCAAGCACTCTCGCACCCTGACACCTTCGCGCACTGAAGCCCGCAAAGCTTTGTGACAAGATTCTGTCTGGTTCGCAACGCCGCCCCAAATCAAGGCTTGCACCGAAGGCGCATCCGTGCCCTCCGGAACTGAAATTAACTTCGGGTTCCAGGTCTTGCAGCCCCGCAGGCTTCCATGACTCTTATGGTTGAAGGCTCATGCTTCTATACCGCCCTGAGAATAGAACCATACAAATTAGTATTTAGATATTCTCTTGGGTTTTTGTATGAACACATATCAAAAATAGCTCCTAAGGAGACTATAGGCTTCAGGCTCTAGTTTAGGACCGCAAGAGGCTTTGAGTTTCTTAACGGCCACTCGCTCTAAGCCGGCCGACTGGGACGAGGCAGCCATTTATGGGCCCACCTTGGGGCTCTTCAGCCTTTCGGGTTGAGGATAGAAGCATCTTAACCCTTAGGCTCTAAGGACTCATATCTTAAGGCTTTTGGGCCCAAAGACCATACTATATAAGGCTTTTGGGCTATTTTGAACCTTAGGGTAAGCTTTCAGCCTCTGTTTTGCATAGATACTAGGCGACAAGGTCTGCGGTGCGTCAGGGGGGGGGGAGGGGGACAGCGCAAGACTCAGGCTTCAGCAGCCGGGGTGTAGAGTCCAGACCCTCCCTAATCCAGAGCTCGCGATTCCGCGAGCTTTGAAGTTTGAAGAGCCGGTTTAGGGTTTAGGGTTTAGGGGTTGGGTGGGACTCCTGCGACTTCAGAGCTATTGAGGCTAGGACTACGGAAAGGCTCGGAGTTGCAGCTGGGGAGTTGGAGGCCTTGCTTAGAGATGTGGCCTGGAGGTGCGTAAGGGGAGAGGGCTGAAGACGATTGTTGTCGAGCTTCTTGAACATTGTTTAATCTTTTGGGATTTGAGCTTCGGGGTGTGGGCTTCTGTGCTTAGGATTTGAGCACCGTGGGCTTTCCCCACGGAAGCTGTGGGTGCCGCGACCGAAGCCCTAAACCCTGAGCCCTGCCTCATCCGAAGCTGTAAATAAAGCATAGAAACTAAAAAATCAACCATTGAACACTGAAGCCTTTTTGCATCCAGGCCTCTTGAAGTCTTGCCGGGGAACGGCAAGAAGAAAAACACTGAAGCCTTCAATCCCTGAACCCTGGGAACAAAGCGCTGCATGCCATCAGGGGATCCTCCACGGTCTGCCCCGGCAGCGGACATGCAGCCTGAGCACTAAGAATATTAATGGTATACGCAGTAATAGCAGAATAGCAAAAGACGTGAGATAATCACAGCAACGCTCAAGGCAACAATAACATCATTAACGCAAAGGGAGCACCTTCAGTTCTCGTAACCTCAACTTCCTGCAGTACCACCCAGGTTCAATATCGGAAACTCACACACTTGGACATCAAGATACCACAAAGATGTCGGCCTCGTGAGTTTGGAAGAAGCTATACTGAACTTAGAACCCTAGCAACAATTGTAATTTTAGCTGTTTCTTAGGGGTTATAATAACCAAAAATTAAAAACTATTTCTAAGTACCCCTAAGGAAGGTATCAAGCTAGGTTTAGCACAGGAGAGACCCGTCGGGTAGCGAGAAGGCCTCACCGGCAAAGCATGCAACTTCTTTGCGCGAAAACCTGAAGCTAAACTCGCCTTCATGTTTTGTCAGACCCTTTTACACCTGGACTACGCATATGCCAGGAACTGAGTCAGACCCTAAACCCTAAACCCCTTTTTTACATCTGGACTTGATGAATGCCAGCCCTAAACCCCTAAGCCCTAAACCCTAAGGCTTAGGATACAGATGGAAAACAAGCATTGAGAGGAGCCTGCCCTGCACACAAGCAAGCTAGCAAGCTAGCCAGCTCTAGTCGGCTATTTCTTAGGTACTGCCTCCATACAGTCAGAGTCTATAATAGGGCTACTATTAAGGTCCTAGTATATCTATATTATGAGTATTATTTAACTATTACTGAGTGGGGGCCGTGCCCAAGTTATTTCATGCCCTTACCCACCTGACCAAAGCTATGCAAACACGAGGAGTGCTGCCCCGTGCCAGCCAACAAAGCACAACAAGGAACAGCAGCTTGGGATGTGGTTGGAGTGCATGCCCCTCGAAGCTTCAGTAACAGGTGCCTACCAATACGTCTGTGCAATTTAGGCTTAATCAACTCTTACACTGCGCCTATGAATGAGGTACCGGGTCTGGAGTCTAGCTTAAAGGTAGGTTTAACCATGATGTAGCCTAAAGCTTGGGCTCAGTTAAGGTAGGATTTCATGCAGCTGCGACGCCAGGATTCTCAGCGATGTTTCGACGTCCGGTGTGCCAGTTGAAAATGGCAGGCTCCTAGCCCAATCTAAGTGCTGAGGCTGTTTGTATAACGGGAGTTTAGGGTGCGTAGGAATAGGTTACAGAGGGCCATTTCAAGGGAGTTAACTAACCACTTTTTTTGTCAGGTTTATTCCACAGGGTGCCCAGACCCCAGACCGTTACGCATGCCGGTTAGGCTTAGGGGGAGCACTTCCCTGAAGAGCTCGGAATCCTGGCCTTAAGGCATATAATGACCCTAAACCCTAAACCCTAAACCGTCCATATAATAGCAGCACTATCCGTGGGACATTTTGCATCTTAGCGGTCAGAAGTCTCGTCTGCATACGCACAAGCAAACAATGGAGATAGCAGCCTGCCGCCCCCCAAGAAGAATCCTACATCACCCAGAACTATTCGTCAAACCCTACTTATAGTCTCCATTGTGGTTCCTTTTTCTTGGTTAACCAATTTTATGGTCAGGATCCTACAAGAAAATATTTAATTAACCCAAGCAAGGAACTACAACGGAGACTATAGGTAGACCCCAAACGCCGACGATTCATAGACTTACCTTTGGTTAGTAGGGAATGGAAGAATGGTAGCAATAGTAGTTATAATTGTACCCCATGCCTCCATTCCCTACTAACCAAAGGTAAGTAGATGCGCATCCCGCACTCTGAAGTCGAAACCATGGACAGAGCCTCAGAAGGAGCCAACTCACATCCCGGCTTCAGGGAATTGGGGCCCTTTAACTAAAGTTTACCCTCAGGGTCCAAGGGACCCAATAATTAGGTACTCGGCTTTGGCATAGTAGTAATGTAGGTTATATTTTTGAGAGTATGTGATAATTGGGTACCTGGACCCTTAAGGTTAGGTTTGGGGCTCCACGGCTTTTGTTGTAGGCTTAGGGGGTTTGAGGTTCGGCATTTAAGGCTTTTTCAAGGGCTTAGGGTGTTAGGGTTTAGTATTCCCAAACAGGGCTCAGTGGCTTGAGAGTGTAGGGTTTAGGGAAGTTTAAGGTAGCCTTAGTCGGCCATGTTTGTTGCGTGTGGTTTTATCTTGCGGGCCTGCCAGATTCGGGCTCAGGGACTTTTTGCGGCCCGGATTTTGCTGTTTAGTCTTATTTTTGGTGCGTTTTCGACGCTCACACTCGCACAAGGCAGGCAAGGCTCCATGGTGGGTTTAGGGTTTGAAGGTTAGGCTTCAGGGGTTTAGAGATTGGCCTGCGTGTTTAGCATTGTTTCCGAGACCAAGGCAGCTTCGTGGCGCAGGCAAACCCCAACTCGAATCTTGGCCAAGCTACACACTGCAGTTCGGCCAGCCCAAGGTGCAGTAGGCCAAATTGCTGTCAGATGGCCCTTGGTGACACGCAGTCTGTGCAACCCCACACCCCAAATCCCTTAAACCCTGCTCTACTGTTGATGTTGTAAACCCTGCACTGCCCATAATAAGGACTGTACCGATTTTCCCATAGTATAGGGTTCAAACGGAAATGCAGAATTTATAACCCCAACCGTATAACTATGGTTTTGGGCTCAGTGGCTCACTTCGTTCATTCGGGCTTTATGCCAGGTCAACTCCGAGCTTCGTGGTCTCGCACATCACAGTATTTTGGGTTTAGGGCCCCTCTAATAACTGATCTATAGGGGTACGTTTGGGTTTAGAGATTAGGGTTCTTGGGGGATCATAGCGTGCTTGCATATTTTACGCAAACGTCGAAAAATGCCTGTGCCTGGAGGACCAAATGACCCTTAAAAGTAGGGGATCTATACCCATATGCTATGAATCCCTATATGGTATATGAGCCTTAAACCCTTTTAGGGTTCATTTCGTCCTCAAGGTGGGTGATGTGAAGTGATGGGTGCGGAGTGCGCAGGCAAGCTGGCCATGAACCCTACCTGGACCCCAAAAGTATGTAGAACATTTGCCGTTTCATGAGTGTTGGGGAATTATTTTACCTACTTTGGGGGGGATTCAAGCAAGCCGCAATTCATTAATTAGCCGCCACACATGTCAAATAATCTCGCGGCACAGACACAGGACAAGCCCTCGCCCTAAAGGGTGAGGGGCTTCAGTGGGGGATCCTTGTGAGCCCGACACGACACCGACACTGTTGCAGTATAGGGTGTACAGGCGTTAAGGCTTGAGTTGTTGTGTCAGGTTTTTCCGGGTTGTCGGATTTTCAGATAGTTTTGGTGCTTGAAGGTGAGGGACTTCAGGATTTCGGGCTGTACATGTTATGGTGCATATTGGGATGATTCTTAGCCCTTCAACCCTCGGACGTTGCGAAGCCACCCAGGCTCAATGCTGCCAATCTCCGACACTGAAGACCATGTAAATCTCAAAACAAGTGAGCCTGCCCTGAATCCTAAGTGCAAACTAATTAGGGCCATAACTGCGGAGAGCTGAAACATCGAATTCACTGATACTTCAAGCAAAGTGCCTTCACAAACCCTCAGCTTCTAACCCCTAAATTTCAAGCAAGGCACCTTCATAGAACAGCATTTGGATAGCTTGCGTTTCATAGTGTGTCACTGTAGAATTCTCCCCCTCGTCGGCATCGTGTTTCACCATGTCGAATGCGAAACCTTGGCCGCGGCTTCAACGTTTGAACCCTACAGATTAGGGGAATATAGCCTTAACATTTGGCATAGGGTTTAGGGGTATATTGTGCTACAGCTATATAGTATGAGCCCCTATATTCGCGTTGACAGGTACACTGCAAGGCTCGAGTCACTCGACTAGAGGTTTGACCGATTTGCTCCCGGGAGGTTGCGTCCCGAGGTGGGCTCAGAACGGCTAGCAGTGAGTGGAGGTAGTACCCACCACTCACGATTTTTGACGACGGCTTTGGGTATTTGCAAGCTAAGACAAATTTGGGTAACGGATAGCCAGCAACCTCCCGAGTGCAATGGGAAGAAGCTCCATACAGGCCTGGCAGTTTCGGGTGCCGGGTGGGCTTTGGATATCAGCGAATAGTCAGCTAATAGGCATCCTACGGACCGACGAATGTGGTCCCTTAGGCACAGATGGAGTTTAGGGTTGCCGGAGCTTCATGAACGTGCCACTGGCTGCACCCCGAAGCACAGAAATGCGCTTAAGCTGGAACGAGCTGTCAATAGCAAACTCAGGCTCCAAACTGCTCCGAACCGTCCTAAACCCGCACCGGAATCTTGCAGCCTGGGCGCATCGGCATAGAAACCACTTTCCTGGCTGGACTAAAAGCGACTCGGCCGCAGTAATGACGTGTACGTAGCTCTGCTCCGATACCTGTGAGGCGGCTTTTGGCTCAAGGGGTGTAGGAGTTTAGGGTACGGTTTAGGGTTTAGGGTTTAGGGTTTAGGGTTTAGAGGCCAGGTTTAGGCAACAGCCTAATGTAGGAACCTGATTAAGAAACCTTGGGCCTTTAGTAGGGTTCCCTTGTATGAATCCCACTTACAGGCCCAGGGTTTCTTAATCAGGTTCCTACATCACCAAAAGTGTTGCATCAAGAAGGCCCCAACTTCCTTTTGCACAGATGTGTGTATGCCCGCCTGGATGTCGGATGTCAGAGCCGCAGCACTCGTGGCAGTAACCCTAAACTTCTGAAAACTTCCGAAACCCTAAACCTGATAACTGACACTAAATGCCCTTCCGTCCGCCCCTAGAGTCTAACATTGCACTGATAGCCTCTAGATCTTTTCCCTTGACAACCATCTTTATCTATAGAGCATATATAACAATATAACAATATATATATGTATATATACACACATATTCGCATGTATGTATATATATATATATATATAATCAATGGTCAAGAGTCAAGACACCTCTTAGAAGACTCTGTCTGTCGAGTTGCTGTCGTTGCGGACGGTCTTTCGCACTCCAGGTCGCTGCAGTCTTGTGCCCTCAGTAGGGATAACTGCAATCTTGTGCCCTCAGTAGGGATACTCTAGGAGTTCCTTTAAGGGATCGGTGAGGGTTTAGGGTAAGGGTTCCTTTTCAGGGATCTCATCAGGTTCCTTTGAGGGATAGTTTTGCTCTACGAGTTCCTTTGTGGAGTCCACAAAAACTTTTGCTGATTTCTGAATAAGGGGTCAAGGGCTAACAAAGGCTTCTTGAGTTTGGAGTTTAGAGGTCGTTCTGGCTTTTCTGCCCTCAGCGTGGCTTTATTTGGGGGGAGGGTTCTTGTATCCAGAAACCTACAAATCCAAGTGCGCTTGTCGGTCTCAGTTAGGGTCCCTTATCTGTTGAAATTTCAAAAGGTCGCTGCAAACCCACCACAAGCATGGCAACTGCTGATATCGTATTGCCCAGCTTGCACCGCAGCCTGCTGGCGATCCACAGGCAGAAGGGGTCAGTCGACGCAGGAAATAAGATCGAATTAGGGGCTTGCGGGCTTGAGACTTGGGAAAGGATTGAAACGGTTCCAAACCTGCTCAACTGCTAGCTGGGTTGAATAGTGCTTCTGGAAATGCTCCCTAAACCTTAAACTCTAAACCATCCTCAACCCTTCCTTCCCAAAATCCACAATCCCAAAGCGAGAGAGCCTAAACTTAAACTCTGAGGCGCCAAACTCCGAGAGTCGAAAAGCCCCAACCCGAACCTCTCCAACCACAAAAAGCCGACTGCAGACACGTCACAAAGCGACTCGGGCGCCAGGGGTGTAGTGGAGGCCGGTGAGGTTCAGTGTGCAGTTCTTAGTGGCAGAGGCTTCCTTCCGCGTTGCTGGTTGAGTGGAACACCCTGCCTGTAGTGTAAGCAAGAGATTCACACCCTACCTCAACCCCCTTCGGAATCTTACCATCTAGACCTTCAGGCCGCCAGCCTTCCGACCATAAGAGCATTCGCATGGGAATCTGAGCTCAGCCCGTGGGCAGTGTAGACGATGTCGAAACTAGCTGAGAACTAAGGCTTGTTCAGTCCGATGAACTTGTGACACAGAAACGTATGTACACCTAGTTAAGCAATTTCTCTTCCTACTCATATGCTCGTCGACTCATTGGTTTAGACACGCACGAATACATGGATGCACACTCGCAGAATACCTAGTAGCCGTCTGCAAGCACTTGCAGCAATCCCTAACCCGAGCAGCAAGCTTCAAGAGTCTAGAATAAGGACCCGGAGCCGTACGTCGGTACTGAAACTCATATTCGCCACGGGGCTTTAGTCTTATAATGTGGTTCTGGGTTGTAAGTACATATGGTAAACGAATGTAGGGGTGCCAAGGTAGATTCGTACTAATCTGTTCGAACGCCTGTAATTGCCCAAGTTAGGGTCTAGAGTCTAGGGTTCAAAGAAGACCACGACTATGCTGAACAAGTCATTAGCAAGTCTCCAAGCAGATCCCCCGGACACCCTAAACCCCAAACCTTGGCGTCAACACTTCTGATTGCGGCAGCCAAATCTTCGGTTTTTGTTGATGCCTTTTACCCCTTGCAGTTAAGGCCGGCGAAACCCACCGAAGATTTCGGGTGCAGAGTCTCCGGGCTACGGATCCCAGCACGTATTGGGGCAGGAGGAGATTGCAGGAAACCGACAGTAGACTCACTGAATTCTCGTATCTTCCAGACGGCACGTAGGCCGCTGCCCTATGGCAAGCCTAAGCCCAAATCTTTGCCACCAGCACTTGCATTGACGACTGCTGCCGTAGAGTCCACACCTTGTGTACACCAAAGCGATGTCCTGCTGTCACCTTCAAGCTTCGTCTGGGTGTTCGGTGACTGTCAGCCGTTCTTTCTTCATGCTCGCTGCTCGAGTTCTGTTTGAAGGCTTCGAGTTGCAGTGCAAAAGGGGGAACACGGAGACTTGACTGGGGTGGGGCAGAGTTCACAACTACTATTCCATGTATAGTTTTTTGTTCTCAATGCTGCTCAAGCTTCCAAGGCTTACGGAGTTTCTCCAGTGTCATGGTGCAGAGTATCGGGATCCTTCAAACTAAACAACGATCGTAAAAATGAGTTCAAATTTCGGTCCCTGACCTCAACTCTGAAACAAAGAGCTCTTGCAGTAGGGGCGCAGGGCTCCAGTTTTCTCTATACTCTCCAACGTGGTTCCGTTTTGGCTTGCCTGGTTTCCTTGTTCAATCATTCTACGCATAACACCGGTCCACGACAAATGCAACTACATTGGCGAGAGTAGGTGAGGCCTGTAGGGTACTTAAAACCGACGAGACCAGAAAAAGACAGGATCGGAGTTCACCTCGTGCAGAAAACAAAATGACTGACTCCTTGTAGTCGCCGAGCCTGACCCTCAGCCCAACCCATACCATACAGAAGAGTAGCTTGTGACGACAGAACTTCTGAGGAGATTTTTGCATCCAGAGGTAAACCCGACACCCCTAGACCCGAGAAATGCCTCCTTGACTCCCTGACCTACGAAGTTCTAGAATACCTCCTGCTCCATGAAGCAGGAGACAAGGCCTTGGTTATCAGGCTCGAGGATGACGACTCGCAGTAATCCTGAGGGGATAATGCTTTGGACTTGGGGTTTAGAGGTTGAAAGTTGAGAGTTTGGGGCTTGGGGTTTGATACAGAGCTCTGCCTTATACAATCTCTTTAAACGCATCAGGGGATACAACGCAAGTCTGCATGATTGGGATTTTAGATTTCGGGCTTTGGGCCGTCTTGGGCCAATGGCCTTGCGTCCGGGGTTCAGGGTCTTGAGACGAGGTATAGGGTCAAGAGTGTTACAAAGGGGTTCAGCAACCGAGAAACACCCATGGAATCTCTGAGACACGCTGCTGGACTTGTTGACCATGCAATCTAGAAGCCCTCGCAACTTGCGACTGGGGAATCAAGAGACCCCCGGCACCCCAATAGACTTGTCCTGGCACAGCCGTGAGCACGAAATCCAAGCAAAGACCAGTGCAACTTTCTACATGCACAACAAACTTACGCCCTAAATCATAAACCCCTAGGGGTCGGCGAGTCGCGCGTCTCTATGTTCGCAGTGTTGTTGTTCACTGCCACTACACGGAGGCAGATGACCTCATCCGTCTCCTGAGAGGGGCTTAGGGCAAAACTGCGGTTGGCATTTGGATTTTCAGGTCTAGGGATTTGGTTTTTGCAACAAAGGTGTTAACAGCACAAAAGAACCTGAGGTTCAACAGCTGCGGTTGGATTCGTCAGCTGCGCACCATCTTCGATTCAATGTGTATGGTGCAAGTTGACTAGCTTGCACCTTTCGTGCCCATGTCGCAGTCGACATGCATGCTCCTCCCTACTTGCTAGGCCTTCCTCATGTCGACATAGATTCCGGATGTTGCAGAAAGGGTTATCAGGTTTGGCGTGGGGTTCGAGGGCTGCATTACCTGAAGGATCATCCGACATCACAAGTGCCTTGCGTTACACGGTTGTCAGTGGGCTACAATGGGAAACCTGCAGGCTAGTCAGGCTAACAGCCCCCCCCTTTAGAGTGGGGCACGATGTGGCAAAATAGTCCTCAGGGCTGTCTCGAATATACTTACTTCACCTTTAAGGGGCACAAGGCTGGGGTTTATGGAAACGACTGCGAAGGCTTGGGGTTAAGCATGATTACGTTGTGCCTCGTTCTGTTCGGCAAAGTAGATTTGGATGCTAGCTTGGCTTTTGGGTCAGCTCTCGCCACGGGTGGCTCAGTGCAATGTCTTTCGCCTGCTCGCGCAGCTCAGGGGAACGACGGCGAATTGCATGCAACCCCGCCAAGTGTCAGCATCGGCATCTTCCCAGACACGTATACCGACCTGAACCGTCTTCGGAAACGCAACACGTGGCACAAAGAGGTTTAGTACTTTGGAGGGCGCTTGGTTTTGGTAGTTGACGCTTGGAATGGTGTGCGCTTCAATCTAAAGCGATACCCGAACCCCTGAAGCCTTAACGTTCAAGCCCTGAGACTGAACTATGGCGCCCATAGGTCAGAAGTGTAAATCCTAAGCCTAAACCCTCTATACCCTCTCTCTCTCTCTCTTTCTCTCTCTTTCTCTCTCTTTCTCTCTCTCTTTCTCTCTCTCTCCCTCTCTCTGTCTCTCTCTCTCTCTCTCTCTCTCTCTCTCTCTCTCTCAAACGGAAATCTCCCCACACCTGTACCTACCAAACCTTCTTTTTCTTGTTTAGGGTTTTGGGTTTAAGTATTGGGACTGAGAATATAAGCCCACAGGAAAGTAGGTTATGGTTTAATATTTGTTTAAGGTAAAGGCCTACGCCCGAATCACTGGGTCAGGCTTAGGGTTTATTTGGTTCAGGGCTCGCGTGCCTAACCCTAAAACTTTTAGCCTGAAACCATCTTATCCCAGCAAATCCGGGAAACACTTTTGAGCAGGGGAGTGCAATGCACTAAGCCCTGGATCCCCTCAGCTTAGCTCCAAACCCCAGCTCTCATGGCTGAGCGTGCGAACCACTGATCTGCGACTTACTCGGGAGGGAACGTTTCTTTTTGCGTTTGTACGATAAAAACTTCGACTGCAGCCTTGTCATAGATTTCATGCTCGTGAAGCAATACGGTCTACTTAATCTCTGCACCCTTAGGCACTAAATCCTACAATTCCTACAAATCTGAGGCCAATCTCAGATGAAACCCTGAACCTGCCTCCATCCAATCCTAAAGCCGAATCTCTCAATCTTGAAGTCCTAACAAGTCCTAACCCCACGATCCGTGACCTCACGCCAAGCCCTCCCTGAAGGCATAAGTCTCCCTACTTCAGAACACATGGCGTAGGATCCCTAAACCCCGAACCCAGATACCTCAAGCCCCAAACAAACCTCTACAACCTCCTTCCTGAAACCCTGAATCCCGAATATATACTCCACTCATCCCCCAACCGACGATAGGGGGGGGTGTAGAGTTTTTGGGGCTTCGGGTTTAGGATCCTTTATCTGCAAAAGTAAACTTAACACACAACCCCAAGCCCTGGACTCAGAAACTGCATAGCTTACAAGTGTCCGAATTAGCTGGAGTCCAAGGCACAAGAAAAGCCGTAGCAGTCGCCTACGCGTGAGACCTACAAGAAAACGAAACCCTGGGTCGTCACGACACGTCGCCGCGGCACACGCCCCTACGTCTGAAGGCGGTGCGAGCTGAGAGCAACGCAAGCCGCAGCAAATATTCTTACGTGAGGTTCCCTCACATTCTAGGCCACTTGAAACATTTCATCCTTTGAAGGGAATTAAGCAGGTAAGGGGGCCAGTATTGGTTTAATCCTTTAGCAGGAACCCCTTTTGAGGAAGGTACCTTAACCGTTCTGTAGATTTCTCATTGGAGGACATCTCTTGAATCAAGGACAACCCCTCAACCACTCTAAACCCCTTTTGCATCCAGGCCTATTGCCCCCTAAATCTTGAAACCACAGCCCTAAACCCTAGAACACTGCTTAAACGACGGGCCTCATGATTCGCCAGGGCATCTGCAGCTTCATCGGACTTGATCGCGTATGCCAGACATTGCCTCAGGGCTTCGGATTTTAAGGCTTCGGGGCGGTGTATCATGGGCATTTCGCGGGTCAGGGATCCCTTGATTTAATTCTCGAAGTGTGGCCTGCAGGTTGCACTTGCAGGCACACATCTCGAGAAGTGCAAGATGTTCTCAGTTGCTGAGTCACCGGCCTTAGAACGTAAACAACCATGACAGACACATACATACATAATCAAACATACGTACGTACAAACATACCTTAAAGGATCCCTGAAAGGAACCCTACGGTACATACTATCGATCCCTTAAAGGAAGCCTTCAGATACATACTGTATCCAGCGACTCGGCCTTGAACCTGGGAGTCCCAGTCCAGACAAAAGCGGATCCGCTCCTGCTTCGATGTCAGCCCAAGATCTACGGAGCCCCTCAGGGTCTAGGGTCTAGGGTTTCGGGTTTGGGGTTTCGGCTTTCGGGAAAGAAAGAATAAACCGTACATGCTGTATTTGCGTGCACGTTTGTTGGTACGTCCGTAAACATATCTACATATCCCTACACTCTAGACTAGGGTCCCTGATGCACACACGGAACCAGCCGCCCCCTGCCTGTCCGTCTCGCCATCTTCCCAGACGGCTGCTTCGGTTGAAGGGAAGTAGTCGAAGTCCACCACCCGCATGGCCTGACGATCGGTTGAGGCTAAAATGGTTGAGCTTAAAACAGGGGCATAATGCTTGAAGTTATATGAGAAGCGGGTTTTGGGGGTTAGTGTGTTAGACTATAAATACGGAGAAAAACTCGAAGGGCTAATTATTAGTACTATTGCGCCCCGAGAATATGGTGAAGCTGGGTTGGTGGATGTAGGTTTCATTTCAGGGTGCCAATGCCGAGGCCAACTTTCAACTGTAGGTTCATGCTGCGCCTGATGGCCTCAGATAAAGCAGCATCCTCGGCCCTGCAAGAACAACGGGCGCAGGCCCTTTGTCATAGCCAGAAAAACAAGCCGCTCTTCGACGTAACCCTAACCCCTAAACCCAAACCCTTTTTTGAACCCGGGCTTGCTCGCAAACCCAAACCCTAAACCCTATATAAACCCTCAACCCTATATAAACCCTAAACCCAAACCCTAAACCCAAACCCTAAGCCCAAACCCTAAACCCTAAACCCTAAACCCTAAGCCCTGAGCCCAAACCCTAAACCCTAAACCCAAACCCTAAGCCCTGAGCCCAAACCCTAAACCCTAAACCCAAACCCTAAGCCCTGAGCCCAAACCCTAAACCCTAAACCCAAACCCTAAGCCCTGAGCCCAAACCCTAAACCCTAAACCCAAACCCTGAGCCCTGAGCCCAAACCCTAAACCCCAAAGCCGCCCTCGACCCGAAGCCAGCACAAGCTGTTGCCTGAGCTCAGTCGGCACTCCAAGTCTGGGCCAATATGGGGGGGCCTTTCCTTAATAATTAGAATAAGGTTTAGGGGTGTACTATAATGCGATTAGAATAAGGGGCCTTTCCTTAATAGTTAGAATAGGGTTTAGGGGCATATTCTAGTATGGTTATAATAAGGTCTGCAAACGAGGAAGTTATTGAGGCCAAGGCCGTTTGAGTGGCCATCAGCAGGCCGCAATCATCAAGTTCCAGCTTCACGCCGGCCTGACGGACTGGGGCTCAGATGAAGGCCTTCGGTAGCATGTAGAAACAACCCTAACGGTAGGGTTTAGGGTTTAGGGTTTAGGGTTTAGGGTTTAGGGGTTTAGGGTTTAGGGTTTAGGGTTTAGGGCCTAACCCCTAAACCTTAAACCCTAAACCGTTCAGGCTGGGATGCATCTAAATCGGCTCGGGGGGGATGCCCTTGCGGTCGTCGGCTTCGGAGCTTCACTTAGATACGTAATACGGGGGGGGGGGCCTTTTCCTAATATTTAGAATAGGGTTTAGGGGTATATTATAATACGGTTATAATAAGGAGCCCCCCCACGTAGTAGTTATTGGAATTATTGAGGCCCCTATTACAGCAGCATCTGTGCTGACACGAGAAAAGTTCACGTCAAATGGGTCATGGCTGCATGCGCAACAGCAGTTACCATGCGGCCGAACCACGGCAGCAGCCGTGTGCTTTTCCCTTCTTCGATACTGGGCTCAAGCCTAGCCAGACGACACCCTGCAGTCATCTTGACAGCTTTGTTTTCTTAGTTGCCGAGTGTATAAGCCCAAAAAAGTTTAAACTTTCAGTTTTAAGAGGGTTTCATTTTCCAAAAAAGTTTAAAGTTTATAAACTCAGCTACTGAGTTTTGGAGTGAATGCAAAACCCGGCCTCCCTACGCCTAGGGCTAGATGGATGCGCTGCACATAGAAGCTTCACAGACCCTAAACCCCTACCCGAGCCCGGACAGCTCTTTGCCCTTCCCCCCAATCTTTCGAAAGTGTGAGCTCCATAGCCAGCCGAAGCCGGTTTGCGCGAAAAGCTTGCCAAAACATGCCTGGCACACCCACACCACCAAGAACGAGACAGAACAGCGCTATGAGCTAACTACACGTATATGCAACTACAATCTACGAATCTTGCCCATGCTCCTGTAATCGTGCCTACTAAGTCTCACGGTCGTGTAAGTAGAAACCCCCAAGCCCACACAAGAATCCTAAACCTCCGAGGGTCCCCTGACCAAAGCCTGTACTCCTTTGACTCATCCTTCAAGATGATCCGAACCCTAAACCATTGATTAAAGGAACCCATACCTCAACCCCCCAAAGTAAGTGAAATTATGGCCTAACACCTCTAAAAGGTCGTTATTCTGCACACTTTGGTGGTCTAGGCAATCCTTTAAGTAGCCCAGAAGTCTTTGAGTAAACCCTGCAGCACCAAGTTCGATGCGATTGCCTTCCCGCTGCTACCGCCCAGCCGACTGGCCCAGACCAAGCAGTGGGCTGAGGCTCCTCCTCCTCCCCCGGCGCTCTGTCCATAAAACCCTGAGCCCTTCATAGGGATACTTAGGGGTGTAGGGGAGGGGTGTAGGGGACTATATTTCCTTAAATAGGCCTTGTTAGTCCTTATTATGGGCCTTAAGGCCCCCTGCCCCCCCTCCCCCTACACCCCTAAGGATCCCTATGAGCCCTAAACCCGTAAACCTAAACATAAACCCCGAAACCATAAACCACTATCATGATTTTGGGGTTCCTTTCGAGCTTTCGGATGAATATTTAGGTCCTAGGGCATGTGGCTTTGATGTTGTGGCTCCGGGGTTCAGGGTTTAGGGCTGTTCTGGGTGTAGATTCTAGTATGTTTATACCGGGACCATTGGAGGGGATAGTCGGATAGTGTTGGAAGGGTCCAAGTACCCCTGCATTAAAGCAACATTAGCAATAGTCGCAGGCCGAGCCTTAAACCCTAAAGCCTTCAACCCTACATGCTCAACTGTCTAGAGTCTAGAGTAGTCTATAATCAGTTTTTGAAGGTAAGATAGCAGCTGTCGTCCTAAAGCCCTACCCTAAAACCCTGAATACTTAACCGTCTAGAATAGTCTATAACTTACCGTCGGTTAGTAGGGAATGGAAGAATGGTAGTAATAGTAGTTATAATTGTACCTCATTCCTCCATTCCCTACTAACCAAAGGTTTAGGTACGGCCCCCTTACAGTAAGAGTCTATAATAGGGGTTTCCCTGGTTCCAGAGCCGCTTGGGGGTCCGTCGGGCTCGGGATGGCTGCCCAGAGACTCCAATACCCCTTAATTACGGAATATTCCTTAAATTTATAGCAAGGATCCCTAATATGATTTAAGGCATTTTCCTTCATTACGGGATATTGGAGTCTCTGGCTGGTAGGCTTTGACCCTAAACCCGAAGCCCCAGATCTTAAACCCGACACTAGGCCTCAAATGCTAAACTCAACCTTAAACCCGAAGCGACGGATCCTAAACCCTCTTGCGACAGGCTTTCCACTTCTCCCAGAGTTGGAGCAAGCAGGCCTAGCCGCTTCACTGCAAACAGTAAACCAAACTTGACCTTACAAATCCTCTGCAGAAGTATGTCGCAAAGGAGTGAACCTAGCAAACGCCAACCGCAAGAGACCTGAAGAAGCCGGAAGATCTGAGGCGACTTGACCTTAACTTTGGAGATTTAGATCGCCAGGATACGGGATGCAGGCTAAATGGCCTCGGCTTGGGACTGTTTGAAAGGCTGGAAGCCCCGAGGTACAGTCTGCATTGTAGTTCCTTTTTCTGCCTTATCCGCTTGAGCGGCTTCTATCTTTCGGATCCTTATTCAACCCCACAAGGAACTCCGAAGGAGACTCTAGGTATAGTCAGGTATCGTACCCATAGCCCACTAACCTACTGAACAACTGGAATTGCAGGAAAAGTCCAAGAAGAAATGCATAATCCTACCCTAACCTCGCAGCCGTTAGCGGTCTAGGGCACGCTGTCCTTAGAGTTCAAGATATCGGGACACTGGTCGACGCAGTCCTGGAAAGCTTTCCTCCACTGTGGCGACGTACGATACCAAGTTCACCGATTCCGTCGCACCTGGGACAGCGAGAATGAAGAAAAATAACAAGTCAGTGATGAAAGGAAGTGCCAAATCAAAGGGAAAAGGAGGGACCCTTAATGAAGACCCCTACTCTATAATGGGCTATATAATGGGTCTATAAAGGCTATATTAAGGGTATATGCCTAGGGGTCCTTATTAAGGGTCCCTCCTTCTACCCTTGGACCAAAGAGAGGAGTCCAGTCTAGACCCTGTAAGTCTGTTGGCCCACAGGATCTCAAAGTTGGATCCTTGGGTTGAGGGTAGTGGCAACGCAGGTTAGTATTTCCGGGAACATGTAACTGTAAGGTACTTGGACTTGGACCCTTGATAACCCTGTGGTCCTAAACTCTTAACCTACGGTTCTACAGAACTCCTGCCTGGGGACACATCTCGCAGGTTTTCCAATGCATGCTGGACTCCTCAAGGTTTCAGCATCGGGTAGTGCGCTATGCGATCGAAAGTGTCGTGCTTGTGCAGGATGGTACGAGGTTATAAGCCTGGCACCAAAAACCAGCACGGCAAAGCTACCGTAGGCGCCTTAATACTCAGAACAGGGTTTCTTGGTCGTGCTGTAGCATCATCAAGGGACGGAGCCCTAGTTAACAGGATTGCCAATCTAATCATCCGCACCCTTATGTTAGGGCTTCACAGCTGCAAACCCCTGGGCTCCGAACGCAAACAACCCAGGCGACGGCAATCAATAAACCAAAATGCTGCATATGGGTGGTTGTCAAAATTACGGTCCCTTTCTGGGTCCCTATTATAACACGGAACCTAATATTTCAGGTGCCCAGCAAGGGGCCCTAATTTTGACAACCCATATCACATTCCTTGTTATGGGTAATGCAGGATTTATATCATCAACCGTATCACGGCAGAGGACAGTTCTATACAGGGACACGCCTGCATTGCCTGCTAGAGGCCAACTTGCCAAATCCTGCCTAAGTCCTTGCAACCTTGAGTCCGAAACCCAAAGACATAAAAACAAAAACATATATATATATATATATAGATAGATAGATCGATAGATAGATAGATAGATATCGAAGGAACATGGTTTTGTCATTACCAGCTGCCATGCAACCAAGTATCACTGGACTAGTCTTTGCTATTGCTTGCATTAACAGTATCATGCCTCCTGCTCATAACTATTCCCCCACAACAAGCGCTGGATCGATCCCACCTGGAGGAAGGAAGGTGAACCTCAACAAGCCGCCATCACCGTCTGGCAGAAGGCGGACCTGAATGAAATCCACGAGTGCTCCGGTTGATGATACAAATCCTGCATTGCCTTAATGACCCTAGACTATAGGAATTATGGTACATTCCTCATTATGGCCCTGGAAAATGCAGGATATATATCATCAACCGTCCTTCTACTTTATCAGCGGCCCCCCCCTTTGCTACCTGACCAGTATGTAGTTCGGTTCAAAGATGGAAACTATAGTTGGATTTGGGGGTTTGACGGGTTAGGTTCTGGAATTGGCTTGGCGTCGAGGATCCAAGCATAGGCTGCTTATCACGAAGATGGCCCACAAACATCGCACAAACGAGAAACGAAGCAATATACGAGTGTTCGAAAAGGTGGGTATTTCCAACCATTGCACACTCCAATTCAACCCTATGCTCTATATCCCGAATTCCGAAAGATCGGTGTTCCTGAAGGTATTTAGAGTTGAGGGGGTCCTTCTCCGATAAATCTTTCACTTCACTGCGGGCTCACACGGTTGCAAAGACGGGGGTCCGGAACCAAGTGGTATATAGACTCTAGACGAACGAAAGTATTGGGCATGATAGAACGAAAAATACCGAAACAAACAACTAGGAAGATAGACAGATTGACATGGGCGTTTAGATAGGTGGATGGATGATAGGTAGATCGACAGATAGCTGGGTAGGCACGCCGAAGAAGTTGCAGCCTCCGTCGTGCGAAGCGTGCTGTTCGGCGCAGGGTCCAGGTTCGTGTCATTGACAGTGAACCAGATTGCCTGTTGCCAGTTGCTAGTTCATTGTTGGGATAGGATTACACATGTACATGTTTATTCCTTATTGGGTTTAGGTACCCATAACATGTAAAATGTTACCCAACTATGACAAAGGTTGATGGTCTTCCTCGGCCCTATACATACCTGAACCCTGAGCTACAGGAATGCATGAGGACCGCACACTTAGGAACTCTAAACGGGCAGAACTCCTGGGCGACAGGTAAGCCATGAAATAGCATACAACCTGCACACTTCGTGCGGTTTCTTCAAGTGCAAGAATATCCAGAGCTCTTCGCAACAGTGCAAACAAGCCGGTTATGATGGCCTTGCGCTTGTGGATCCAGGTTTGCAGGACTTGGACGTTAAGCATTCCCCGAGGGACACCAAAGGCTTTTCAAGCTGCAGAGTCGGGCCTGCTCCATTGAGCTTAGGGTCGTAGGCGCGGGGGATCCCCTAAACCCTAAACGCGTGGCGTAGTCCCCTCGTTGACTTTGGGGCTCTGTCGGTCCTTGCTTGATGTGCTGCAGCCTCAGAAACTACTCGTGCAAAGCGAAGCAGGCTGCCACAAAACCTGCACGACCGAAGTCCAGTTCTTCCGGCCCTAAGCTTTTGAAACAGTCGAAGGTTTTTGAAACTTCGAAGAGGATTTCGGGGCTTGCAAACGAAATTATGCGAACCCGTCCAGAGTTTACAAAATGCTGCAAAGTTTACGGGTTTAGGGTTTAGGGAACATCTTTGGCCCAGATTTGCCAGGTCCTGCAAGCCCTCGTCAGGCAAGTGGCCTCGTTGGGCTCAAAGACGGTGTCATCTAGCACCTTCTCAGGACTACTTTGAAGTACACTGCATCATGACCTCTGCTGAGTTTCCTGCTATTTCGATGATTAGAGTTCGATTTTCGGCGTTTGCATAAGACTCCCGTGCTGCTCCTGGGTTTGACAGGGGGGCTTCCCAAAAATAGGGAACCCTTATCTAGCACCCTAAATAGTAGGATCCTTCTTATATAAGGACCCCCCAAAAAAGGTACCCCTAATTTTCGGAAACTCCCATAAACCATGAATGATAAAAACTAAACCCTAAAGCCAGACTCTGAGCCCCTGACAAATCATGAACCTCATGGCTTGGCTCCAAGCCCTTTTATGCGGACAGTGCTGCCAGGCCTCTCTGTCAGCTGGAAAAAGTAAGGGAACCCTAAACCCTAAACCCTAAACCCTAAACCGAAACAGCCCTAGGTCGAAAATCCTGAACCTGCAATCTGAAAGCCCACATATCTAAAAGCTTAAGAGCTTAGGCTGAAACCTAACATATCGCCCAACCTAACCCCGTAAACCCTAAACCCCTACACCCCTGACCCCTGAACCCTAAACCCCTAACCCCCTGAACCCTAAACCCCATAGACGCTCTGAGCCCACCGAAGTCCAAAGGTTGCCAGGTCACGCGCACCGTTACCGGCTTCAGAGACGCGTCTCCGTCGGCCCACCTCGAAATCGGAAAGCCCAAAACCCTGAACCCTAATTAAGCCCTAAACCGTGAACCCAAAGCCCTTTTGCAACTTGAGAGCCAGGACAGCAACCCAAAGCCCTAAACCATGAACGCGAAAAAAACTGAAGCCGCATGCGGATTTCAGGCTTCGGATCCATTTTCGGGGGTGTGGGATCGGGTGATGGGGCTTTGAAGCGGGTATCTGACTTGTTTGATAGTGTCTCGCCCTTCCAAGTCAAGTAGAAGGGCCCAAATGGCCAAATTGAAGTTTGGGGTTACCCATAGGCTCCATAGTAGTTCCTTTTTGGGAATACCTTGTAGGGTTCTAAATGTGAACACCCAAATAAAAGGAACTACTATAAAGCCTATGGGTAAAGAGAAATGGAGCGAAATAGCAACAGCATAACGACGAAAACAGGACGTGGATTGGACTCATTCGTGTCGTCGTGCTTGTGCACAGCGAACCCTACTCTGGAGGTCTTTAGGTCTATAGACCAGTTACAGCTCTTCTTTGAATAGTTAATTTCCTAAGTCCCATCATCGTACTCTAGTAAAAGCATCGATTCCGGTTTGCAATGTACGCCTTGCGGGCTTTGACCTAGATTGAGGTTTAGGGTTAAGAGCGAAAGGCTTGGAGCCTGGAGTCAGCTCTGCACGTCTCAGAGACCTTGTATCACAAGCCGGAGCAAGATGGATCTGGGGTTCCCAAAGGGTCCTAGGTACTGTTACGGTGGATACTTCCCCAAATCATAATACGGTTGAGGGTTTAGGCTAGATAGGCACCTAGATTCTAGATGTGCTTAGGAATCTCTGGGGTTAATTACCGCTGGCTCAGGGCATGGGGTTTCGGCTTCAGTATTTAAAGCCTTAGTTCAGGAATATGCCCCTCAAGCCATTTTCGGGCTTAAGTTCTAGCAAGGATGGGCCCGCATGCAGGGTAACTTGGAAGTACGGCTAGCAGAAACTTTGCATTGAAAGCACGTTTAGGGTTCAGGGCTTAAGGAGTACAGTATACCTAATATCTTATTATAGGGACCGGGATCCTAATAATTTGAAGCAGATTCCTGAACCAACGGATATCGGAAGGTCTCGGTCCAGGGGTTTGGGGATGGTCTGGTTAAGGGTTTAGGGTTAGGGTTTAGGGTTTAGTGTTTGCAGCTATCTTGCTGCACCTCTGGGTGAGACTTCTTGCTTAGGGAGCTTGTCTCAGGCATCTAACGAAACTAGGAGGTGCCTTTAAAGCCTTTGAAAAACATTAGTAGGCAAGATCCTCTGAAGCCAAGTATAAAATGTCCCAGAGCCCTACCTAGAATACAGTAGGGAGCCCCGCAAGAACCGGACCTAGTAGGATGTGTCATTTTGGGGCTATGAAGACGCTTAGAACGAACTCCCAGATACTTCGGCCCTTGTGTTTCGGATTTCGGAAGGGGAACACGCAGAAGATCAGGTCCAGGCCTTACGGTGGTATTCTCGAAGACGAAGTCGGCAGTGGGGGTAGCCTGCAGTGTAGCGCTTCGGATGCGTTTAGGGTTTGGGGTTGGGGCTTTAAGGTTTAGGGTTCAGGCTATTTGCACTCTCGCAATCCACCGCAGCCCTTCAATCCTCCTAAGGTTCACACCTGAAGTCACATAAGCACCGCACTCGAGCGAGAACAGACGTGCAGGCTCAGATTGAAGTCGTTAGAGCCATAGCCGGCTTCGGTGTAGGAGTCCTCATGGCTTACTACCCCAGTAAGCCACAGAAATAGAAGGTTAAACTTTCCGATTCCTACTAAGCTATAAGAACCCAACAAGTTTAAAGGTTAGGTATTGGGGATCTGAGATAGAATGGCTTGGCCAAACCTCCGCACTCATGCACCAAACGACCAAGCCTTGGAATCAGAAGCGATACTGGCGTGATTCAAAAACCCAAAATGCAGACCTCAGGTAGGCAAAAGCTTGTCTGAAGCTGCCGCCCTCGCTACCCACCATTAAAAAAAAACGAGGAGTTCCAAAACCAGATGCCAGGTCCCCAACCCCAAACCCACAGCTACTAAATCCCGGACCTCAAGCACTCAGCCCTCCCGTGCAACAACACCCTAGCCTAGCCGTTGAATGACACACTCGGAGAACTATTACCGTGTGGTAGGGGAGCTGCTTCGAACCTTCGGAGATCTGTAGTATGCATGTATTGAGACCACAGCCCGAGAACCCATGTGGGAGTTTCCGAAAATATGGGACCCCAAAATACAGTACCCCAAATAGTATAGGTTAGTAGGATCCTTACTATATGAACCCTGAAATAAGGTACCCCTAAGAGGCAGAAACCCTGATATAGAACCCTAAATAGTAGGATCCTTGTCATAAGGACACCAAAATACGGGACCCCTAACTTTCGGAAACTCCCATGTCAATCCGGGCCTTTGTGACATAGACCCGAGCCTGGCAGCACACCGAGTGAAGTTATCACTGCCCAGACATGTTTGGGTTCGGGTTTAGGGTTTAGGGTCTAGGATCCCCTAGGAACAATGATCCTAGGGCTCCCTTTTGGGCATCGGGGAATGTTTTATAAGGAGCCTAAGATAGCAAAAAGGAAGTTGAGAGCCTAAGCCCGAAACGCCCAAAGCTTGCCTCCATGCTCTGAAGTTTCGGGCCCCTCAAAAAACAGTTGGGCAGGCGCTTCTACCGTCGAGTCGAAACCAGTGTTGAAATGATGTTCAGCCATAAAGTAGAATAAACCCACTCCTGAGAGTGTAGATCTTGAGTCGCAAAGTCCTACGCCCTGACAGCCAATGCCACCGAAACTCCAGCACCAACTCAACACTACAACCATAACCCGAACCACTAACCCGAACCGTTCCCAAAACCACGAAAGCCTGGCGAGACCCGATTCGAAACTCGTTGTAAGTTCAGAAACCTGTTTAAACCCCTTCAAATACATTTTCGGGCTAAACCCTCAAACAATCCCGGCGTAGTCGGCCTCCAGCTCACCACTGACGCCTCCGACGCGTGCCAGGCTGAGAACGGCAAACTTGCTGGATTCGAAAATGGTCTGCTGGACATCCTCACAGGGATTTCTGGCTTGGAAGCTTTGGGGTTTAGAGGTCTGCCGGACATCCTCGCGATTTAGGCAGAAGGCTCCCAGAGCAAGGGTGCAGCAATTGGAAGGTGAATGATGCAGAGTTGGAAGTCTTCATTCCCTTTTAAAAGCCACTCATTGGGATTAAGGACTTAAATTGTGTTTTTCAGAACCGAGGTTTGCGACATCCTCGGCGTTGCTCGATACTAGGTTCTTGCTAACGAACCGGAAGCAGAGCTCAGGAATTTGTGGCTTGGGGGAGTCTGCTGGACTTCCTTACTTCACAATGCTTTTTGGCGCTTCTACGGGGGTTTGCAGTGGCGTAGTGTAGAGGTTCTGGCTTTTGTTCATGAACATGACCGATGACGTAAACTGCCATGATCACATCGTACATAGGAAATCTATATACAGGGATATACCACAGGATACATCAGGTAGTACACATGCGTTCAAAATCCCAATTATGGTTTGCTGAACATCCCGGAGCCCAGGTCCCTACAATACTACTGGGAGTCAATACAACGGTCTTCTCATGAAGGCGTTTTGGCAAGTATTTCTTCCCTCCTACCTAGCAGGACAAGCTAAGCCAAGAGCGCCATTGAGCCGAAGTACTGTGAACTGTGCATGGCCCAACTGGCTCGCCACCACATTGAGCTGTAGTGCCAAGAACGCAAGGTGGAGTGCCCTGGCATCCGCTCGTTCACGCTACGGGTTTTGGGTTTAGGCTTCAGGCCATTGCTGCGAGACTGTTGTCTGGATGGGATGCTGCGATGGGCTTCGAAAGGCTACTTACATGATCATTCCTAAACCACCAACACTCCGAACAGCGTTGTCCAGAATGACATTCAACGCCAAAGGCCCTAATGCTGAGGCCATTCCTGGGCTCGAAGACACCGAGATCTCAGGGCTTCTACAAGTAGTTACGGTTTTTGAAAGGTTGGGGTTCGGGCTCCCATAAACCCTAAACCCCTAAGCCCTAAACCCTCTGTGCGATGCAACCTGAATGCTCTGGCTGCCCAGGAAGGGCCGGAAGAGCCTTTGGTTCGTCCCAGAAGAGTCCGAAATACATAAACTAGGCAGCACTCCGGAACCATGGCCTCTGTCCTTTTCTGGCAGACTAGACTGCAGCATACTGGTGTCTAAGGTCTGTAGGAAGATGTGGGAACTGATGGAGGTGATGTTGGTTCCAATCTACCCGGCCCTTTGGGCTTTATTCTGCTGGGTCCTGGAGGGTCATAAGACCTTGTAAGATAGGTGGCCGCTGCCTGCTTCGCCACCGAAAAGCCGAATGACTCAACTCACCGAAGCAAGGGTTACTCACAGGATCAGCGTCCAAGCACAGTGTGTTATTTTTCAAGCTTGCTTTTAAGTGCTTGTAATATTCTTATAGTAAGGAACGCTAGGGAATACTATTGGCAAATCTTACCCCGCATACTACGAGCGCCACGGACTTATGTAGACTCATGCACCTACAGCCCCGGGACAGCCCCCCACGACAAATAACAAACCCCACACCCCACAACCCGAAGCATATCAGTATACCCCCAAACCCCCGCCAGCTGCAAAAAAAAACGCAAACCCCAAACCCTTAAACCCCCAAACTGTACTTTCCGCGACCAGCCTTTTGGGCTTCATCGCCAACGTCCGCCGTGGCCTCTCGTGCCGGATTTTGGTGCAGTACGGTTGATGACATAAATCCTGAATTACCCATAAGTAAGGAATATAACATAATTCCCATAGTCGAGGATCATTAATGTAATGCAGGATTTTCTATCATCAACCGTCAGTGTTGGGCAGGGGATTAGGAAGGCATCTCTGTCTCGGAGGTTGATTGTTCCTTTGCGTGCAGCAAACGGTGCACAACTTAAAGGGACCTTTCGAAAAGCACCAACTTCGGTTGCAAAGTCTCGGCTTTCGGAAAATTTTGCTCAGGGCTTAATGTGAGGTAAAGGGTATGGGATATGGGTTGGCCGTTGTAGCGTAGGGCCTAGGACTCCAAGCTTGAAGCTCCTACAACGGAAGACTGCCCTAGCCGAGGGATAATGACCCGTGTTGGGCGTAGTGGGTAGTTCCGCTGCTGCATTGAAGCAGGGACGATGTGAATACGAATGCTTCTTGTGGATGCCATCTAAGACTGCATGCTGGAGTCAACCCGATCGGAGATCAAAGCCGCTGCCTTTCCCAGACAAGGATGAGAAGAGAGCGAGGAGATTTTATTGCAGCAGACTTCTGACAACGGAAAACATACACACACTCTCTCCCTCCCTCCCTCCCTCCCTCCCTCCCTCACTCCTTCGATCACTCACTCACATAGGTATCTATATTTATATATATATATGTACATATATATATATATATATGTAAACATATACAGAACACTTGCCAACATCTACAAGAAGGCGAAACCCATTCACAAAGTCGAGCGGTCTTGTTATGGAAGGGGTCTACGTGCCTGTCCCGAAATTTGAAATGCGAGAGATTCGGAATAAATACCAAGATGTAAGGTGGAAATGCACAGCCCAAACCCGGAGACCCAGACCTGCTAGCAGCTGCTAGCAGGTCTGACACCCAAACACTGATTACCGACGTGCACAGTGCCCTGAATCTGGACGGCTGAGGAAGCGGCACAGGGAATGACCAGCAGCCGAACACACCTTCACGTGGAATGATATGAGGCTCTATCTGCATCAGGTGCGCAGAAGGGGCACTTGTTCAACCCAGCTATCGTGCTGTTCGTGCCTCACACGTGTTCAAAACCAGGACCGTTTCACAGCCGCATGGCATGGAGACAAGCATGTCAGTACTCGTATACAAAAACACGATTTTCCTCGCTGCTGCTCGCGCACTCATAGTTTCGCCAGACTTTGGGTGCCTCCTAATCTGGTCAAGCTCTGTTCACTGGAAACAGGGCAACCGCTGCAGATCCTCCTCGCAGATGTCTGGGCGTAGGCTTGTGTCGGACACGCAAAGACCACAGATCAGGAAGATGGCACCAAGACTCCGCCAGGAGGTTCGATGCTCAAGTCGGTTGAAGAACCGGAAGCCCTGCAAGGCAGTAGTGGGTCTCATGCATGCTTTCTGTGAAGGGCTTGGGGCTTAGAAACACGTATGTAACTCGAGCTTAAGTCGCAAAGCAGCAAAATGGCCGCCAGGTGACTCACCTCCAGTCTCACTATACTCGCGGTGATGCCAGAAACGGGGTGCGTGAGACCTCTGGGAAGTGCGTGTGCTTGATGTGGTGCATGAGAATCCCACCCTGCAGTCGTGGCAAGCCAGGGCAACAAGGGTCTTGGATTTGGGTGTTATGGCTCTGGGAAATCTGAATCATGCTCGACCCAGCAACTAGAACTAGAACTTTCTCGTATATGCTTCTCCTGGCTTGAAAAAAGACATACTGCACTTCTCCGAAAGCCAACCCTGCAAAACTTGCTTCGAGTACCCGGGTCGTTATCGAATTTTGGTCTCTTGGCCTAAATGGCTCTAAGATCCGCTTCTGACCCGGAACGGCCCGAAGAGGACGATGCCACCACCATCCAGAAAGTTCAGCATATCGGTCTTGCTATAAGCACCTAAAGCCCTAACAACCCCTTGGGCTGGGGCATCAGGACATTCAAGTCTCTATATACTCCCACTATACCGTATGTCTATGTGTCTATGCATGGGCTCATGCGTGCATGCATGTGTGCATGCATATCCGTGTGTATTCGTATGTCTGCATGTGCATGTATGTAAAAGTCCGTGTGTATGTATGTATGTATGTATGTATGTACGTATGTACGGTTGTAAGAACATGCATGCATGCACGCGTGCACGCACGCCTGCCAGACGTAGGTAGGTAGGTAGGTAGGTCGATAGGTAGGTAAGTAGGAAGAAGTAAAAATGTGTATCCATGTACTTAAGTGAATGCATATGCATGTGCAAGTACATTTGCACCTGTGCATGTGCAGTTGTGCATGTGCATTTGTAAATGCATGTGCATGTGCATGTGCATGTGTGTGTATGTGTGTATGTGTCTATGTATGTGTGTATGTATGTATGTATGTATGTGTATGTATAGGTATTTATGTATGAACCTGTATGTATGTGTATGTCTGTGCATGTATGTGCATGTCTGTGTACGTGTATGCTTGTGTATGTATGTGTGTACGCATGTATAACATGCATGAATGTATGGAATCATGCATGTGCGTATGTATGTAAAAATGTGTACTGGCGTATGTATGCATGCATGTACGTATGAATGCATGCGTATGTATGTATGTATGTCTGTATGTATGTATGATTATGTATGTATGTATGTATGTATGTATGTGTGTGTGTATGTGTATCGGTGCATGTCTGTGCTTATGTGCTTATATGCACATGCACGTGCATCTGTACGTGCGTGTGTGCATGTAGGCATGCACGCATGTCCGTGTACAATCAGATTTCGCTCAGGGTCGAGGGAGCTCCAGAACCAAACTCTCTGCAAACAAGTTCTACAACCTTAACTTGACATTTTCCGTTATCTTGGATATGCATAAGGGCAGGGCACCCCTTGTCGACACTTAGCTGATTGTTCCTTCCTACTGAACCAGCAACAGATGTAGAACTCGGCCCGGGACACCTATCCCCACGCCTGAACCCACAGAAACCCTTCCTCAGATCAGAGTGGCAAGCCTGAATGGCGACATCTAAGGCCCGGAAGTCAAACTCCTCACCATCGGGAGTGCCCTTCGGATGTCCACGCCAGGGGTCCTCAAAATACAATAATTGCACTGTGCAGGCGTTGGGTGCTCAGAATATGTGTATTGGGGTACTTTCCTTTGATTGAAGCTTCTGTCTTATCTCTGAAACTCTCCAAACCACGTCCAGGGATGGGGTTAAGGCTGTGAAACTGTCAGTGCCCACAGCCCATGGCCGTCAATGCCAAGCATGCACCGCACAATCCTGTGTTCTTGGTGCTTCTCCCCCTCCCTCCCTCCCTCCCTCCCTCCCTCCCATGAAACTGAAGCAAGAAACCTACATCATACGCGAGGTTACGTTTTGACTATCCACCTACATCCTGATCGCAAGGAGTCAATGAACATATCAAAAGAAGGCACGACGTAATGGACGTGTGAAGACAACAAGAGTGCCAGAGCTCGGCAACTGATCCAGTAAGGGAAGGCAGTTTGGGTCTCAGGAGTGAACAAAGCGGCCAGGAACTCATCATGGATGAGCCCAAGAAGACGTAGAAGTTGATTCTCCAACACACCTAAACCTCTGCACCCACCGAAACATCCCTAAACCTTGGTAGCCCCAAAAGCGCTAAACCCGACAAGATTGAACCAGAAACCGAACTTCCGGCCTGTAATGCGGGCAAGTTGCCGGGATCTTAATCTTCAAGGCCTCGCGCGGAGGCGCCCAAGGTGTTGTATACCTCTGTGCGGCTGCAATTTCCGGTGTAGGTCCTGAAGCTTGGTATTTGGGGTTTAGGTTTAGGCTTTACAATTTGGGGTTTACAGTTCTTGAGCAATCCTAGGACAAGCTGCCCTCAGCGAAAAACTCGCGGGCGCTGTTCAGCTGTAAAGATCGGCCACTTGTGCCCGGGCTAGGGTTTAGGGGAACTTGTAAAGGAACTGTGATACAAAGCAGTGGGCTTTCGGGTAGCAAGAGCTGACCGAGCGAGACTCCAATATCCCTTGAGTAAGGAATACTCCTTAAATTATGGTAGGATCCCTTCTACGATTTAAGGTATATTCCTTAATTAACGTGCAGGATTTGTGTTCGAGGCTCAGGATTGAAGTACGAATAAATAGGTTATTGCTTAGGTTCTGTGTTCAGGCTTTAGGATGTGCCGTTTGCTGTCTACCCAACCCGGCACAATCTACCTTGATATTGCAATTGCAAAGACGTGGGTTCAAGAAGGGTGAGGTAGTGCTAGCATCCTGCCTGCAGGAATCCTAAACCCTAAACCCTTCTCTGATAATGTTGGTCGGTCCCTGAGGAAGGAAATCAAATAATCAGATTACCGGCAACACCGAACTTACCCCTTAGAATGGAGCAGAACCTGACACCTACCCCTTAAGCCCTGGATCTTAAAGCTCCACACTCCCGCCCCCCACACCCAAATCCGTGCACCAACCCTGACAGCTTCAAACCATAAACCCTGATATCCCAAGCCCAGAAGCCCACGGCCGATAAGCCCCCTAACTGATGGCATCTATATCCCTAAATCCCTTATAGTACCCCTTTAAAGGAACGCTAGGATTTCACCAAATCCCTTCTAGTGTCCTTCTAGACCCCGTTAGAGGAACCCTATAATTATAAAGGACCCTTGTAGTAAGAGCCCTTAACTTATGGCACTATATCCCTAAATCCCTTATAGTACGCCTTTAAAGGAACCCTATAATTATTACTGGTAAGGCCCCTTTAAAGGAACCCTATAATTACTAAGGCCCCCTGTAGTAAGCGCCCCTGAACTGATGGCAGAGCTGCTCTTCGCGCAGGAGCAAGGCCTGACCCTTGGGCGGCTCGTAGGTCTCGCTGCCTGAGACCCCCCGGAGACTCCAATATCCCTGAATGAAGGAATATACCCAGGGTTCCTTTAAGGGATCTAGAAGGGATCTGTAGGGTTTAGGGGAATCGAATATCCCTTAAGTTAGGAATGTACCTTAAATTATGGTAGGATATGGTAGGATCCCGTATATGATTTAAGGAATATTCCTTAATTAAGGGATCTTGGAGTCTCTGGGGAGTTTAGGGGGTGAAGGCTTAGGGTGAAGGGCTCGTGAAAGGGCTCTGGGGGTTCTTATTAGGGTTTCTGTAAGGATAGCGTGAGGGTTCCGAAAAGGGCTCAAGGCTTTGGGTTCAGGGTTTACGGCAACCGTCGAAGATGCAGAGCTCAGAGCTTTTTCAAGCCCCTGGAGTTGAGCAGAGTTCTCAAAATGGGCTTTAGGATTTAAGGTGGGTCTTTTTTTGAAGGGCGCAGTGGGACTTTTTAGGGTAGGGTTTAGGGTTTCTGGCATAAAGGAACAATCCCTCTCCCGACAAGGCAAGGTGCTCACGTCCACGCCGGCTGGGTGGGGAACGCTCAGAGTCAGTTGCCCACGACGACAGAGCTTGTGTAAGTCCTCCATGTTCCCCTTGCAGTGAGGGATGTTGAACCTCGGCTGTTCTTGAGGTATCCTGGTGCTCTTCTAAACTACCTTCACCTACCAAACCCTACTTTTGTTGGTAGGTTCTTCTTGTAAACCCTAATATGGAGTTTATAGGGACCCTACCAAAAAAGAAGTAGGTTCTTGTAGGTTAAGGTAGGCTTCCATGTCAGGGGCCTGTTTGGAATTGAGTTCCGTAGCCCAATCTAAACTCGATGGCAACAGGGTTCGGGTTTTAAGGGTCTAGGGTTGGTTTTACAGGGTTCGGGCTTTACAGGGTTCGGGTTTCACGGATGTGACAAGGCATTAGCTTTACTTGCACGGTTCAACCTCGTATCTTCGGATGCTATCGCCCAGTCGTTCGACTCATCACGTGTAGGATTGGGTTTAAGGGTTCAGGCTTTTTTTTTTCCTCCTACCTAGCAAGGACGAAGCCCGCATTGCAGGGAGTCTCAGAAGAACAGCTGTAGGGCAGTAGCTGCTTAAGACTGGACAAGCAGCTAATTAGTACTCAGAGCAAGCGAAGCCGGGTTCAGGCTTAGGGTTGAGGGTTTAGGTTTGGGGTTTACAAGCGTTTGGGGTGTGGGGATTAGAGGTGCTCAGGGGTTCGGGGTCAGTTTGGTAGCTCAGGATGCATATGACGCAAACTCTCTCACGGCTCACATGCCACGTGCCCCCTGTGCAAAGGAAATAATTACCACGCTCTGGATTATACTTGGGCCCTTCAATCAACCTCAAACTCCAGCATCCCATTAACCCGCGAGCATCTGAGCGACTCGCTGCTTCCATGAGCCTGCTCTTGTGCACATGATGCATTACATGGTCTTACATGGAAGCACAATCTCAAACACCATCGGGCAAGGGGCAAGGCCCCTTGTGAAGCTCTTAAGCAGCGGCTGCTGAAGGGGTCTGCGCAGTTTGGCAGGAAGAAGACGGCCTGCCTGGGGCCAGCACACTTTGCGAGCGTTGGCTAACATAGCGTAGGTTACCGGTGACATCCAGGACCCTGCTGTCCCGCTTGACTTCTTAAGATATTCTGGGCAAGCAGTCGGCACAAGAAAACTGATGTGGTGGATATTAATCGGAGCATTTCACCATGAGTACGGGAGATTTTGCAGTGCCGCCCAACTGCTCGCTGCGAGTTCTGCTCCAAACCCCACCTGTGACACTTCAGGATTTGGGCCGAGCCTTCACCCAGACCCCCGGGAGGATCCAAAAAGTAGATCCCTTAATGGGGGCTCCTATAAAGTACCCTTAGTAGTATAGGGCCCCAAATGAGGGGATCTACTTTCTAGATCCTCTCGGGGGTCTGGGCACGACCTGCGGCGATCATACCGGGACCAGGGCTCCAAAAAAAAAGCTCTGAAATCTGTGGTGTAGGAGATGCAAAAGTCTCTGCGACTCTGCCACATTCTGCCACTCGTAGCAGCCCGTATACCTCGTAATTTTACCGATGATACCTCACAAAACGCCGAAGACCTTCAGCGCCAAACTGAAACCCTCAACCAGAAGCCGAACGCCCCAAAACCGTGGCCCTAAACCCTTACAGCCTTAGGCCCCAGAACCCTGAACTTTAAGACCGTAAACCCTCGACCGTCAAGCAACCCTAGACCGAGGAAAGCTGACTCCCCAACCCAAACCCTAAGTCCTACACCCGATTACAAACCCAATGAGCCCTAAACCGCTTAAACTCGGCTACCAGGGCACCACTGGAAGGACACCGCCGTGCGCAGCAGGGTGCCCATCAAACCGGGGTCTTCGATGTAGTCCAAACACAACCTCACCGCATTACCCATAATAAGGAATATATGGGAAATACGGTATATAGCATATTCCCCATTATGGGTCATGCAGGATTTAGATCATCAACAGAAGTACCTATGTAGTGTAACATGTAACATGTCATGTCTACTTAGCCCTTGAAGGGGTTCCTACGTAGGTACTTCTAAAAATCTAAGTATATACTATACAATACCCTTAGGTATTTAAGGGGTTCCTATGTCGGTACTTTAACGCCTATGTAAGTATATACTGTACATGTACAAGGAGCCTTAGGGCCAGTCTTTGGGGTTTAAGACGGGCTTCAGGTTCAGGGTTTGGGTCCCGACACGTGCGGGACGGAGGTTTTGTTGTGGTTTACTCTCTCCAATCTCGTCCGCTTAGGGTTTAGGACTGTAGATTTTGAATGGGTTTAAGGGCGCAGACACAACCTCAAGCTTTAAAGGGGCTTGGGTTTCGGGGATTGGGTATAGCGACTCATGAGTGACACCTCAAGCATTATCGTGGGGCTTCAGGGTTCAGTCTCAACCTTTGGCACCCAGGCCTAAAGTCACGCAAATAGTGCTAAATGCCAAACCGTTAACCTCAAAACCGTCAGCTCCGCCCCGAAACGAAAGGCCCCGGGCATCTATGGAACACAGGGAAACTAAAGAAGCTGTTGCACGGACAATGTGTATATATATATATATGCATGTCACTGGCAACCGAAAAGCCAAGAGTGCGACAAGAGTCATACGAACAGCAGCAGCACTAACAAACAGAAAAACAATTTTAATGAAGCTAAGGTTGAAAATTGTAAGTAGATTCCAGGGCGTAAGACTACATCCGGCGTGTGGGCTGAGAGAACAGAGACAAGACATATAATGTAGTCCTATTTGTTCCAGGTGTGCTAAAGGCAAGCAAGCCGCAGTAAACGAGGATGGGTGATCTCTTTGATGGTGCGTCGGGCAGGCAGAGTCAATGTCCCGATAAGGCCATCAAACTCTTCCAACTCGGCGATCTTCCGCAAAATCTAAGTTCAGCAGCATCTGGATATGGACTGGAACTCTCTCTCTCTCTCTCTCCCTCTCTCTCTCCCTCCTTCTCAAATGCATTCGGAACATCAAGCCTGAGTGAAGGGCTGCACTGGAAGCCTAAACCCCGAAACAAACAGCCTAAAATACTGTGCAAGACGGGTTGGGTTCGAATTCCTTGCGGAGCAGAGACCAAAAAGCCCGAAATCGTTTCCCCTAGGCTCAAAAAAACCGATAAACTTAGATGTTGCTTGGCCGTTGAGCCCAAGAGGCTTAGGCCTCAGAGGTTCGACCCTCCTATATAAGCCACCGAAACATAAACCTTCTTGCCTAAACCCAGAAACCCTCAGTCTTGAACCCACATGGGTGGTGGTCAAAAATTATGGTCCCTTGTTGGGTCCCTAACATAACGCGGCACGTACTATTTAGGCTGCCCGAAAAGGGACCCTGACTTTGACAAGTATCCACATATGCCTAGGAAGCTTACCTTAGGTTAGTAGGGAATGGAGGAATGAAGTACAAGTATAACTGCTATTACTACCATTCTTCCCATTTTTATTCCCAATTCTTACTCCCAAATCCTAAAGCCCAAATCCCAAAGCTTAAATCCTAAAGCCCAAATCCTTCAACGAAATCCTATTCCCTACTAACGAAAGGTAAGGAAAAGAGCGTTTCCGAAAATGAGGGGTAGCTTATTTTGGGGTCCTTATAGCAAGGATCCTGGTATTTCGGGTGCTATACTAAAGTCCCCTATTTTCGGAAACTCCTAAACACTAAACCCTAAACCCTTAATAGAATCCTTATACATCCCTTAAAAGGAGCCCCTTGAAGGGTCCCCTATATTTTCGGAAACTCCCAAAAGAGCATACTCTTCGCAGCAGAAGGGGCCCTCGGCTCGGTCACATGCAACTCATCGAAGTTCAATGTTGCGAGATCCTACGTAGCCCAGGCTCGAGACAGTTCGACTACTTACGAGTTTAGGACGTGCATAGGATGTAACAGGAGCTTCTAATAGCTTTATGGGAATGGGGATAATTCAGGGATTGTGGTCGAAAAAAGTCCTTTCCAGTACTAGTTAGGCGCTATGAATGACTAAGGCCGGAAAAGCTGAAAAGAGTACCAATGGCGTTCCAAAGATCTGGATGACTCGGCCGGCTGCAGATGATCTCTTTGAAGCGATACCGCTTCCCCAAGTCTCGGACCAGTTTTGTACCGGTGACTACACATGTCTCCTTGGAGAAGCGGTAGTCTCGGTGGCTGACCAGCTTGAGAACATGCTGGATGTACTTGTCGCCGAGCCGCAGAATTTTCATCCTGAATGCCTCATGATCTTACAACTTTTACTTGAGCCCCCAACCCGACACACTACTGTTAAATATCTTACCCGGATCCTCTAGCAGACAGTTTAAAGTAGCGGAAATCGCGTTGGGTTGCTGCTTCCTGCAGCCCCGAGCAGGACACTGAATTCTCGCATGTCAAGATATGCTACTGGTGCAACTACATCTACTGCTATTGCGAATCACAGTTGATTCGCTATAAAAGGCTGCTTCCACCACAGCTGCGGATGCTGTCCCTACTGCTGCTACTACCACCACCACGACCACCACCAACACCACACTACTCCTACGAGTACTAGTTACTACTACTATTGCTACTACCACTACTACTGCGGGATTGTGATTCGAGGCATGGGCGCCTCATTCGGTCACGCGGCTTGAGCCAAGCACAAAGCGAAGTGTCTGCATGTGGTAGCCAGCGACCCACATCAACAAAGTGTTTAGAAGGATTCTCGAAGTCACTCCTCCAAGGTTAGCTGTATGACTGCATGAAGGATCTCCCCGACTAGAGTAAACCCCCTACCGAACACAACTGGTATTTCTGAGACTCAAGCGAGTTTTATTCAATCAGCCGAGAAGCAGACATGCAAGACCCAATGCAAGGTTTGGGGTTACGGGGGTGTGTAGCTCTGCGCAGAAGCTGAACCTCCATACCCTTCAGCAGCTTTAACATGTCACTGGAGTCTGGAAAATCCTGCACGAGGAGAGCAACTAATCTCCAGAGAAGCTGAGGTTTTGGGTTTGGGGCAATTGGGGCTTCGATTATCAGGTTCGGGACCGAGCTCCACAGGACTTTGCTTTCCAAATTTCCAACAAACAATCCTACGCCATGATCCTACTAAGCTTCTACTCACACAGGTCCTGAAACCCTTCTCTCGCATCATCGTCATGAGCATCACTATCTTATCCATAGCCACTCTGACCAACATAACTGATCGACACCAGGATGGTCCTCAGCGACACAGATAATAGCAGCATTAAGAAAATACACAAGAGTCAATGAACGGATGTAAACTGCACACTTACTTCTGTGTGTGTGTGTGTGTATACATACAGACTTACATACATACGTACATACGTACGTACCTGCGTACGTACAGGCATACATGCATATATACTGCACGTATGCACGTAAGCCCTGGAGGCCACAAGCCTTACCAAAAGGGAGTACGAAAGAGATTTCCATCAGCGCCCCGCACCAAGAGTACTCGACAGCTAACTCGACCCTGAGCCGTAACGTCCTGAACTTAAACTCGAAACCTGTTTGTCTATATAAATACCTCTTACTATACTATGTTCGTACGGGGACGGTAAGCTACCATATCTACAAGACCTTCTCGGGACAGGGAATTAGGCAAAGGGCTTCACATGCATTTTTCCTTTCGGGTGGCTCGAGTGCCTAAAGCTGAGGCACCTTACAGCTGGAACTGCAACACGCAGCAGCTCTATGATTCTATGATAGTCGAATTATACTAATTATGGTTATAAGAGGAACAGCACCCTATATGATAGTCTTATTATAACTATGATGGTGATCGAGAGACAGTGCCCTGCAATTACCAGTACTTCCCTCAGCAGAGCCATGTCAGAAGCCCTGAGGCACCTTGGGAGTGACGGCTTCCTGGAGGATGTCGATGGCGCATCAAGAGGCAACGGAAAAAGGCATTTAGGGCTGACTAGGGTTTCGGTTTAAGCTTTAGGTGGGGCGGGACGGTGAATTTATGGTCCATGGTGCACTGGCTCCCATGCTGCTAGGCTGGATCCTGCTTGCCGCATGCTGGAGGACACGTGGCTCTGTGGGCTCGGAGTGCCGGACTTACCTTCAAGGCTTCCTCGTCTGGTTCTTCTCAGAAACAAGAACGGACGCGTAGACATTCGTGGCTTCAGCCAGAAACGGGCCTTAGGGCACGTGCAACCATGACGATAACGTGGTATCCCATTCTCACAGCAATGGGGTCCAAGCCTTGTGTTGGACTTGATACTTCAAGAAGCATCCGCGACAAACAGTTCGAGCTTCGCTGCTGCCCTTCACGCCTTAACTCATAAATTCCCAACAGCTTATGGTACGTACCGTCGGAAATTGTGAGACGTAGCCGTAACCCTGAACCGCACATGCGGAATCCTAAAGCATGAAACTTGAACCCTGAACTGTCCAGGAACCCCAATTATCCCAAACCTAGACCTTCAGCTGTGATCCCCCAAGAGTCTTGGATTTCATGGGGCTTCGAAGATGCACCGAGACTGAGAGACGGCGAGTAGGGCCAGTTGGGTTTAGGGTTTAAGGCTGAAGCTTTGGGGCTTTAGGGTACTTGAGGTTCCTTTCACAAAGGAACCCTGCTTAGATTTAAAGGAGACTCCATCATCAAGCAAGGGATACCCGAGTCTCAATGTTCCAGAAGCTTGCAATTTCGAGGGGGTCCTGCTATATACGTCTGTCGAGGCTAGCTCCGGGGTTCGGGCCGAGAGGAACTTCTATTATAGGGGCCTTAACAATTAGAGAAAGGTTCCTTTAAAGGGATCTATAAGGGTTACTGTAAGGGATCTATAAGGGCACTATAATGTAGGGGCCTTAATAATTAGAATACGGCATGGGGAATACACTGTAATGTAGCTATAAGAAGGAGCCCCCAAAACCAATATTCTAATCATTAAGGCCCCTGCATCACCTTGTGAGGTTATGGAGGGCAGCAGAACTCACAACTGGCAAAAGCATGGCGTCTCAGTACCTCTGCAGGTACATGCACGAATATTTGCACTGGAAACCCTGCATGCCGGGCCCCATATTCCTATCTCCCATGATCCTCGTGATCCAAAACTGCGAAAAGCTAAGCCCGAAGCTTTTCCAGACATTGTCAGCCCTAAGCCCCAGGTGCTGAGCCCAGCCATCAAGCCGCGATTTAACAGCGCATGCCCGGATGGCCCAAACCTGAACCTCAAACCCTAAACTCTAAACCCTAAACTCTAAACCCTAAACTCTAAACCCTAAACTCTAAACCCTAAACTCTAAACCCTAAACCCTAAACCCTAAACTCTAAACCCTAAACTCTAAACCCTAAACCCTATGAGCCTGGAGCCCGGATGGCCCAAACCCGAACCTCCAAACTGGCCCAATCTGCTGTGAGAACGACACGAGGCTCCAACCATGTACCCCTCTTTGCGGAGCAGTGCGAAGATGTGGGCCACACCTTAAAGCTTTAGGAGTCCAGGGTCCTCTGTACAATGGGCTGAGGGTCTAGGAGTTTAGGGTTCAACATGTCGGAAGTCGTTGGTACTGCTGGGTTGGCTATGAGACTAGGTTCCTGAGTAGCCTCTTTAGAATAAGAGCACCCTTGCTCCTACTAGTCTGTTTTAACAAGGAGTCCCCAAAATAGAAAGGGCCAAAAGGCACTACTCAGGAACCTAGAAAGTCGCTCAGCCAGGGTTCGTTAAAACTCAACCGGTGCACAGCAGGTTTGCTCGGAGTCTCGGCCTTCAGTGGGGATTTTCCTCAAAAAAAGGACCTGCCATATGACATTCTACCTGGTCCTTTGTTCTGTGGGGGTTGAAAGGTGCTGTGAGGCTCATAAGGCTCAACCCGACTGAGTAAAAAGGGAGATACTGGGTGCTTTTCGAGGCCTGGACGTATATAAGTACTCGATTTAACTCTAACGCATAAACCCCGAAAAGGCCCAGCCAGCCTCCACTCCAAACAATAGATCCTGAACCATGCGAGTCAACCCCGAGGCCTAAACCTTAAGCCGTACCTATAGTCTCCATTGTAGTTCCTTTGGGGATACCTTCTAGGAGCCTAGTTATAGGTTTGGTTGAACCAAAAACAGGAACTACAATGGAGACTCTACCATAGGGTCCTTAATAATTACCTATACTATTTGGGGTTCCTTATTCTAGGTCTAGTATAATGGGCCCCCAAACCCTATTCTAACTGTTAAGGCCCTTATATTAGGTAAAGGAGACTATAGGTAATAACCTTGTAGAACCCTTGAAGGAACCTTTAAGGAACCCGAAGCCACCTTAAAGGAAGTAAATTGCCAAAACTTGTCAAGGGCCCCCCTCTGCGGAGGGCCCGGCTGCAACGTTGGCGCATCGTTTCACGAGCTTCCTGGCTTCTGGCTGCGCGCATCGAACCATGTGGGTCTAGGGTTGTTGGACTTTAGACAAGGGCCTTATCATAAGAGGTAGCACGGTTTCCTTGATTAGCCAGACCTCCGTTGCTATGGTCAGGATAACTCATCAAACACAAGTGGGTGGGCACCGAACAGAGCACGTCAGTGCTGCACTTCCCCTTACAGTTACACCCTTGATCCCAGAACTCTGACCTCACAGCTGGCACCTCGTCATTGCAGCGCACCCCGAAACCATAAACCCCCAACTTCGAGATTCCAAGTGGTCAGAGACCTTTCCTGTTTAGGGCACAACAAAAGGTTCTATTTTCTATGTATAATACATGTTTCTATGTGTATATATGTGTATATGCACACACACACACATATATATATATATATATATATGTGTGTGTGTACGTATGTATGTATGTACGTATGTATGTAAGTATGTATGCATAATGTATTTGTTAGATGTATGTATATATATATATATATATATATTGCGTCCTCACTGAAGAACTCAACCCAAACCCCCCCGCTTAAAACTGAAACCCCAGGCCAAGAGCCCCAAACCTGAGCCAAAAAGAGGCCTCACCCCCAAAACCGGGCTCCGAAGTCCAAGTCCGAACACCCAATCGCAAAGGACTGAGCGCCTAAGTTTTGTTTGAGGTCCCTTTCAGGCTTGAGAGTTTAGGGTTCGTTAGGTTGGAGCTTAGGTTTTAGGGTTTACGCTTGGTACACTTCTCGATTTGTGCGTGTCATCCTTGCGTAGGGATTAGGGTTTAGGGAATAAGAGCTTCGGGTTTGGGGTTTAGGGAGTTAGAGGTTGAGCTCAAGAGACCCTCAAGACGAAAAGCTCATGGGGTGAGGCTG